CCAGCTCAATTGCCTGAGAGTTGAAACTAAGAAAAGAAAAGCACAATCACTTCGACTCATAGAGCTTATTGCTGCGAGCTCACGGTAGGAATTGAAGACGAGTAGCAGTAGATGAAAATATATTTATCAACACAAACCTCGTTTGGGTAATGGCAGTATGGTGTATTATGTAGTATGGTGAAGCGGGGGAGGGAGATATTTGGTGGGTAAGTTGAAGCAGGACTGTAAAGTTGGACGGAAAACACGCCCACCCTTTTTCAGCAGTGACCTTGAAAAGATTTTTAGGCCATTTCAATATTTCAAACAACCACACACGGTGCAACGTGTTACGTTGTGATTATGGGTGAAAGCGAGGGTGTATAAAAAAGGATGCTACAGGTCTGGAGTCATTATTTCATGATCAATACACTAGGAGGGTAAGTGTGTCCAATCACCGCTCATTACGGACATGTGCCAATGTGTCCTGCCCCGGCAACACACATGGAGACGGAGGCGGCCAAGCAGGTACAATGCAGGTGGGCAGGCGGCCAGCTGCACGCTCTCTGTTTCACACGTGCGCTGCCCCCCGAGTTGGCGTATTGTCCCACCAGAAATGAAGACCGAGGCCCGATAGCACTAAGAGCAGAGGACGGCCTCCGCATGGATTTCCAATACGCAACCAGAGGCTTAAGCAAGACAGAGTCACGGATAATCCTCCCTCCATCCCTCTCCTCCTCCTCCTTTTCCTCCTGAGCTCCCTTACTTCTCTGGCTATCCCTCTGACTCTGGCTCATTTCGTCCCTTTATTCCTCTCTCCATTACAGTTCTTTTTTTCTCTCCATCGGTGGGCTACATTTGCTCTTTTCGGTCGCTCTGTTTCCTCGCCAGCCTTTTCTTTTTGCTCTGTCCCTCTTTTTCATTTCCAAACCGCACTTTTTTTTATGAATTCTGCCCTGCCCATCTCTCTTGCATTAAATCTTTTAATGCAATCTGCCATTCTGTTCTATTATTTCTCCTTGGGTTAGCACCTCCCCTGGCCTCTCCCCTTCCTTTCCTTTCCTTTCATGTGTCTTATTGGTGCCTCAGGTGGTGTTTCACATAGCTGTTGTTGAGTTGACACGTCCCAGTATGGACTTTTGTAATTCCGATTGGCCTTTAATTGATCATCACATCCTCGGTTACAGCTGATTCAATCTAACACGTATACAGTGGTGACTGCACTCTGATTGGAACTGAAACTGAAACCGAATTTGTTTGATTAAAACGGCTCATGTCTGAAGCGGGTTCATTATTTGTTTGTTGTTAACCGGCCTCAAGGCCCATCTTTAAATTGTGGCTGCATCTCAAGTATGTTTTTCTGAGAGGGTACGGCCTCAAAGAAAGGACAGTCAAATTAAGTTCCCCCGCCGTCATTGTTCCGAGTTAAAACAAGCTTATAAACGTGTTAACAAAAATATAGAGACAAATTAGAGGTTAAATGAGTTATGGTTGCTATGCATCTCTTTACGGATGACTGACAGAAATATCCATTGTTATTATCGTTCATATTTAAAACCTCCAAAGCCATATTCACATCACGCCACATTGTCTGACGTAAGTTGCCCAACGCTCCACTATATATTTCTTTCTCCTTCTTTTTTTTTTTTTAATAAACGACTTAGTTGTCCTGGTTTCACTAAAGAACGTATTAAATCTAATTGATTCTCCTAATTAGAATAATCTTTAAATGAGTTCAACAAAACTGAGTCCTCAATGTCCAGCTAATGAATGGAAGCTTTTTTTTTTTTTTAACCCGCTCTTGTAAAACTGCGTTTGTAAGCATACGACAAACCTCTGCAGACACATTAACTGGCACATTCCATTACCTCAGCGTGAGAAGCCGAATATGAAGCAAACACATCAGTGGCGGTTGCAACATGTCTTTTGAGGTGTCTTCAATGGAATCACCGAGCATATCAAGACTAATCATTAGTGTTGGGTGATTTGGCAGGTGGCCAGCACCCCGGGGTAACCATCGAAAAACAATTAATATCCCTCACGGAGGTATCATGCCTCTGGCACAATGCCCACTGGGAAAATCAACTCGCTGATTACACCGCTGTAAACTGCTGCTGTAATGAGTGGTGTGTGTGTGTGTGTGTGTGTGTGTGTGTGTGCGTGTGTACGGTATGTACATGGATGTGTGCGCGTTCCAAATAATGGGCCTGTTCTAGGTAAAATGACATGAGATGCCACAGGTGGGCATTTGTTTCAACGCCACATACGCCGATCGTGTTCAACGCTCAATGACGAGTCTTAAAGACACAGGAACGGATATCAGTCTGTAAAAAAGTTGGGACTACGCGGATGTATAATTCACCAAACACGAGCGGTCGGCGCATTGGTGCGTGACACATGTTTGCATTACAGGCTGGGTGTAAAGACGGGAGGCAACAGATAACGGAGAGCATCTGACGCCGCCTGACCGTAAAAGCAAGTGTAGAAGAACAAGCCTCAGAATATAAGATAACTTCCGCTCTGTGTTTTCTTTGCTGGTAGGACTTGTTGTCCCTGAATCCCTCAAGGACAGATTTGTCTTTTCTTTCGCCCCCGTCGACAGAGAAGAGAGGTCAGGGTACAGGGGCAGCGTCTGAGGATTTTGTGGAGCGCTAGCGTCTGTGTACACACGTTGGGTTGGAGTTAAAATGACGGGGCTGCTGCTACTTTTGGTCCAAGAATAGTGTCTCTGATAACTACACTGAACCAGAGGGCCTCCATCTTTCATCTGGAGGAAACTCAATAACTACCTCGTATGATATCCACCTCCCCCTTGAGACAGCTCTTAACAAATCGAATGAAAAGAACACCAGAGGTCAATTTAACATAATTGATGTGGACAGGTGTCGTAAACAGCATTTCATACAAACACTAAACACAGTGAATCTGGTCCAAGTGCATAAATGGATGTTACACTTCTGTGATGTCTATATTGAAGGAACCAAACTTTAAAAATGCTCTGACGAAACGAGCAGGACGCTGACAGTGATATATCACAGCCAATGTCTGGCCTTTGCAACTTTTCAATAGCTGTCACGTAGCTGTCAATAGACAATTGAGCAATGAACTGTCCGTGGTGCTGAACCACCACCCAGGTGTCAGTCGGAGATAAAGCGGCATGCTCTAAATAGAATCCAACAGACAAATGAGACAAACACCACGCGTCCACAAGCCTGATGTGACGCTTTTTTTCACCTATTGCAGGAATACCTTCTGCTGTAACATTTGAATTCATGTATTACTGTGAATTGACTGTTGGACGGCATTGGTGACTGTGATCATCTCGTGCATTGATTATACGGTGACCTAATCTTTAAGAATTGAGAATTGAATTGAGGTTTTCCAATGAAAAGCAATATTGACAATAAATATCTACTTTATTCCTCAAGTCGTGTATTTCTATGACAATGGTGATGCTGATAACATCCATCAGTTGTTTGGACAACTTTGACTAAAAGGGCCCTTTCTTAGAGCATACAATTGATTAAGATGACATCATAGCAATCATGGTGAATGACACACACACACACACACACATACACACACATGCCATTCAGGCGGTGATGCCATGTGTTTAATCAAACTAGGGGAACATTTCACATGTGAAGAGTTGCTCCTCGGAATCAAACTGTTGGTGAATGTGCCTCGCTGCGACACAGGTTCCCGCTCACACACATACATACACACACACACACACACGCACACACACACACGCACACACACACACACACGCACACACACACACGCACGCACACACACACACACACACACAAGCACGCACACTCCGCCACCCCTCTCCTCATCCCCTGTTGCTATGGAACCTGTCGCCAAGGCAGGGAGGTATGTGGTTGTGATGGAAGTGATGGACCAAGTCGACGACGACGACGACGGCAGCGACGATGGTCGTGACGACGATATTGGTTATTTGATAAAGAAGAACCTTTGCAGAATTGCGCGGACCGGCCGGCCATAAAGCGATGCGTTGCTGGGCTTCGCTCTCTGCAACGTGGGTGGAAGGAGCGCCGCGTAATACTGCGCAATGCAAACAGACCCTTTCCTCCCCGCCAAGCAACGACCCACTCGACTCGAATGTTTTGCGTGTTTGACACTTCGATTTCTTTCCTTCTTCAAGTCTTCGTTTTGAACTTCAGTCGCGTCTCGCGCGGGTTAACCGACTGTCTTCTGCTGCCTCCCCCCCAAAAAATAGCACACCAACAATCCAATTGTGAGCAGACGAATAAGTCCTGCAGGCCCTCTTACTGCCACCTGTCATCCCTAGGCGATCCTTTTTTTTCCCCTTCTCCCGTCATGACGCAAACTTGATTAAAACGTGACAAATGCGACTATTGATTATCGAATAAGAAGGGGGGGGGGGGGGGGGGGGGGGCGCTCAATATCAAGCTCCTTAGCGACCAGTGTGCGTCTGTGCGCTCGTTTTCTGACTTGTGGGCACCAACGCGGAGAGCTGTGTGTGCAGTTTGCTTTACAGAGGAAAGCCTTGGGTATGAGCTCGAATCTCCAAACGCTTCCCAAACAATAAGGTCCCCCCCCCACCCGCAGCGACCACTGCCCACCCATTACGCCACAGGTCCTCGACGGGCAGGGGCCTGTCAAACCAACAAGTGTGGACCAAATCAAGCAACAATAACAACAACAACAAAAGAAGGCCCCCATCCACATCTGGCCGTGGCTGGCGTGACGATTGACAAGTTGACTTGCAGCACAAACTGCACATAGTTGAGATCTAATGTAGAAAAAGTGGCGAACACAGAACTGCATCCGTCCATCTGTTGACCCCCCCCCCCCCCCCCCCCTCCTCCACTCTCCTCCTCCTCCTCCTCCTCCTCCTCCTCCTCTGTCCTCATCCCATCCCCATTTTCGAGACCATCATACCTCGCTCCCTCCCTCCTTCCCTCGCTCCCTTCCCTCTCCCATGCACACTTACAACATGTTGCCAGTTTTTAAGTAGAAAAAGCAGCACATACCTTGATGGTTCTCAAGGGTGTCCTCCGGGATGTACATGTTTTTGCTTTCATTTACCATAAATGTAGTCCGGCGTTATCCCTGTAGGCGAATGGAAGAGAGAGAGGGCAAGCAAAGCTGGAGAGGCTGAGGAAAAACAGCCCCCCCCACCCCCCACCCCCCCAAAAAAATAAAGAAATTAAAAAAGGGGGGAAAAGAGGAAGCAACTGTCTGACACGGACAGTCCTGGGTATTCCGTTATTTTTCTTTATGGGGAGGGTGTCTTCGGATGGAGTGAATATTACCTAATCCCCATGATGGAGGTGAAGGCTTGAAAAAAGAAGGAGCTTTCGGCGGAACCGGTTGGGAAAACGCACCGGTGCATCTCTCGGTACATCCGGGCCCTGGGCAAGAAACACGAGACCAGCACCGCGTTCAATTCAATTCACACCTCGTTCGCCCTCTCTCTCTCTCTCTCCCTCTTCCTCTCTCTTTCCTTCCCCGCTCTCCCCCAGTTGACTTAGGAAAAGAAAGGTTTCAAAAGGTTACCAAGCACGGGCGCTGTCAGTGACGGTCGCAATGGAAGTGCGCAAAAGACGCATTCGTGCGCATCTTCGGCAGCGTGTCAAATTGTGAGAGGATATGTAGGAGAGGAGGTGGAGGTGGTGTAGGAGGAGAAGGAGGAGGAAGAGAAGAGGAGAAATTTGAGAAAACGAGAAGAGTGTAAATATTCCATCACGGGCAGCACGGGGTTAAATCTCCCAATATGTTGTCGGTTATTCCACGCATCTACAGCAGAGTTCCCCCAAAACACAGAAGCCAGGCCGTCCTGTCTCATCCGGAGACCGGTTTCTCTGTCCCGATCCAGTCCATGGTGGTCCGGCGGTGCATGTGTCTGTCAGCCTGTGTGCCTGTCTGTCTGCCTGCCCGCTCGCCTGCCTGTCTGTCTGTCAGTCTGTGTCTCACTGATCGGGAGTTGGAGCTCTGTCTTCTCTTTGCCTCTGCTGCCTCTGCAGCTCAGCTCTGCAGTGATACCAAGAGAGAGGGGGAGAGAGAGAGAGAGAGAGAGAAAAAAAAAAAGAGCTACCCCCCCTCCCCAGGCATGTAGACGTTTTGACTGTTTCCAAAGGGGGGTGGGGGGGGGGGTGTGTCCTGGAGGGAAATAGGGAGGGGGGGAGTTTTTTTAGCCACCAGGGGGGAATTGGTTTCCGGATGAGGAGGGGGCCAAAAAAAAAAAAAAAAATTTTAATAAAGGGTGTGTTTTTGGGGGGGGGGGGGGGGGGGGGGCGTGCGAGTGTGTGAGAGGGAGAGAGAAAGAGAGAGAGCCAGAGAGGGGAAGAAGGCGGATAACGATCCATAACGGGCTCGCCGCGCTCATAGACTCGGGAGGAAACAGAGATGGTAGATGTTGTACCTCCATCTGATTTGCCCATAGTCCCAGCACATCTGGACCGCCTCAGCCCCGCTTTTTTTCTTTGGCCAAGGCCGTGTTTACACACACTAAAGATCTGGTTTTTCAACTCTTTCATGGCTCAAGCGCTGATTTTGTCATTCCACGGCTCTCTTAAACAGAGAGAACCCACAAGGAAGCTGATTTTCAGATCGTTTGAACGCCGCGTAAATACAGACTGAAATTGTATCAAGTAGATGGGTTCAGGAGGGTCAGTGTACAAAAAGTGAAGGGGAAAACTTTCATCTGGCGGATGATAAAATTAAATTTTGTTTCTTTTTTTTTTTTCTTGCCCTCAGGACGGTGAAGTTTGTTTCAACATCATTCTCAATGATCGGGAACAAATTTGCTCCGGGCCCCTCGAGCAAGTCATTTACTGGAGACATGGGGCCGTTTTCAAGTCGAACACAACAACGAAATCAAGCTCCTTTTGGGAGTCAAACAAAGTCAACAACATCAGCTCATAACTAAATAGCTCGGGACCACGCTTTGATGACATTGAGGCAGCTTGGCTCTATAGACACTGCTGAGGCTCGTGGACTGATCATGCAACATGTTGCTCTACTTAAACGGAGCTGTTTACTTAAAAAGCTCACCGCCCGCTTTTCCAGAATTTATCCAACCTTTCAAAGGACCTATTGAACATATTGTGAAAAGCAGCTCCTGCCTTTTAATGGCTGCGCTCACAATTATTTACATCAAAGGATGATTTTCTGATTTGTCAGATGTGTTAAAGGCAATGCTTCACAAAACAGAATAATTGGGGTTCAATACGTGGGGATGCGTCGAAGTGACTGAGCGGCATTTTCACATTCTAATTGTGGTACTGGCCGTCCCATGTGATTGTATCTGACACTGAATATGAACTTCACAATGTGCAGGCCTCATGTCAATCTCAGCGCAGGCTATAATCAGGAGGTGAATCTGATGACTCAACCCAGCCTGGGTTCATTTGTTCAGTGCAATAGCACAAAATCACCTCCCACTAGCCTGTAATAGAATAAAGCTTTTCTTCGTGTGTCACTGCAGACGTGGTGAAGACAGGGAGACAGCATCAATTATTCTATTAATGTCATTTGATAGATACGTTGTCTATTTCTGAGAGACATACAGTACAGTGTTTTGTGATGCAGATGGTATGTTAATTTACGGTGTTTTTGGAGGGATTGTTGAATAGTTGCGCGGATGAATGGATGGAAATGTTTCCTGACGTTTGTTGCACAAATTGAAGGTTTCCTTGCTTGGAAAAGAAGCAGTTAGTAAGTAATTGTGAGCATGTGACCGGCATGTCACTATACACAACAAAATTAGTTAGTATAGTGAATCGATGCAAAAACAGAAATTGTATTGTTAAAGCTCGTCAAGGCAGAGCTCGTTTTAAGGATTACTAATTTGAGGGGTTGGGAGGTGTTATATGTGGGTAGGAAAGAATTAGAGACAAAGTTCTGCGACAGACTTTTCTATCTATTTTGGACTCTTTCTAATTTCTGCGTTTTTGTGAAATATTGGATACTTTGATCCCTTTGGGCCTCAAGCTGTTATTTAAATTAAACCATCTGAGAAGTCTATAGCAGGGAAGCCCCGGCTAACCAGAGTTCTTTTATAAAGGGCCACAAAGATAAAACTCTGCAGATTGGGAACCAATGGTAGCTACGGCTTAGATAAATGAACCGCTGTAAAAAAAAAAAAAAAAAGTAGGATATATTGCCATGAAATTAGGTAGTAGCAGCAGACATTGAAAATCCCCAAGCTCTGTATTGAGACGATAGTAAGACGGACATCGAGTTTCATAACGGGGGTCCGACTCTCCTGCCAAAGCGGCCTCTGTTTGATTACACTGGCCAGTGAATGGAAGCCCAGACGGAGGACAGGATTGAGAGAAGGACGAACGGATGGAGGGCAGGTCGTGGGAACAGACACTTGTGCCCAGGGGACACACAAACCCACAGACTCACATACACAAACGGGCTCTGCAATCCGGCCTGCCCATGGAATATCTATTCTATTTATGACCGTTCTATATTTGTGGTTCTCGACCCCCTTTGTATGTGTGTGGGCGTGTTTGGGTCTTAGGCTCGGTTGGTCTCTGGGAATCTCTGTCCAGGCAGCCACACTCGACGCTGGTATCTCATGTGGGAAACCATCCGACGGTCAGTCAAAGGGAAAATCCCCTCATGACAACTGTCCAAAGTTATTACTCATAATAAAATTCCGATAGATTCACATGCTTCATATGCATATGAAGTGTTCTCCTGGGATCCAAACTGAAATAGAGACCACAGAGAAATATTTTAATGCTGCTTTTAGTAAGTTATTCCTGGACATAATTGTGCGTGCACATTTACTTGATGTGCCTTGTCAGTTTTTCCTCCAAATTGATAAGAAATTTAAATGTAGCGGTATAAAATTAGATTCAATGGTGCTTCGAACAATTTGAAACATTATTCACCTCAAGTACATGACAGGTTTTCACTTCGCTGAGAAAAATATTGTGCATGTATATTTATATATATATGATATATTGGTGACGCAAAATCAAATGACAGGTTTATAAAAACAGCAAAAACAATTTTTCAGGTTGAAAAATTGCCTTTTTACAAACGTTCTACAATATCCCATCATTCTGTATCCCTGTGTGCATCAGCAGCTACAATCCACACCATTCAGAGTCAAGCCCTCAATCTTAACTGAATGGTTTACGACAGTATTGATCCGCCTCATCATTGACAAGTACGCACCCTCGACTAACAGATGGATACCTGACGCAAGACACGTGCCTTGAAACACAAGCCGACAGTTCACTCTCACTCTGACAAAGTGGCCGAAAAGATCTACTCGCAAAAAAAAACCAATAGCCCCACACTAAATGCCGAAGCAGCAACATTCAAGTTAATAGTGAGGCGGACGATTCATTCTGACCTGCCAGTGCTTCATTCATCGCAGGCTGGATGTTTTCATCCAGTTCTGCTTAGAGCAAGCAGTTGGAGGCTCATTGTTTTACCTCAAGGACATGGGCATGGCTGTTGATGGATGCTCACGATGCTCTTGTACACCTCTTTGATAAAAAAAAAAAAAAAAAATCCAATTACAGAAACAGCTTTCACAGTACACAGGAGTGAATAAGAGACGATTCCTTTTCCTTTTGCATCGGCTGTGAATAAATACATTGGTTGAATGATTATACAAGAAATGATCAGCTGTAAAATACCAGCAGATTAAAGGGGCTAATGCTTATCCGCTTGATGTGGCTATATGGAACATTGTATGTTAAACTGAATATGGAGATACCAGTCAGGGAAGTCATCAGGTGATGTGTGAAATGGGTATGGCCAATATGTTTTTTAAGAATTTACAGTCCTGAAGGTCTGGCTTCTGTGTCAGTTACAGTCCCTGAATATTCATTTTATAAACCCTAGAGGTGGTGCATTATAAACATTGTTGCAAGGTGAAAGTTAATAATAGATTAACAGGGAAGGTTAAACCACTGCAGGGAGTGAAATGTATGTTAGACCGGTGTTTCTCAACCTTTTTTTCAGTGATGTACCCCCTAAGAAATATTTCCAAAGCTTTTTTGTTTGAAAAAAGTTGTAATACACGGCGCTGTGCCATCAGGGTCTGATTTGTGAAATGATAACACGCTGTCTATTTCTTTCTATTTCATAAGACATCCCCTTCCGTTGAGACAAAACTCTTTGGGGACACTTACAAATACTCACGCTCAGGTCTGGAGCCAATCCAATAAATGGCTTCAGCAGGAAGGCCTGTGTTTTATCCATCCCTTTGACGCCCCCTAGTGCATTTGATGGGAAATCTAACTGAGGCTCGGGAAACCACATCAGTTTGAATCAGTGTTTATATTTCCCAGAACAGACTTGGGCTGCTTACTCGTTTTGGCACAATAATTAAACAGGAAAGCTTTTTTTAACCATAATACTAATAAATCTCATAACTGTCTGTCGACCGCACAAAAGGTGTCCAAGACCATATACACCACTATCATAGAGGACTTTAGTCCATTCAAACCTGTTAGAGGTTTATTTATGTTATACCTACATAGAGCTGAAATAAAAAATATACCCCAGAACAAATTACATTGATATTAACCTACCTGATGTTGGTTAGTATAGTACTCTAGTACTGAAGTATTGATTCACTACTTGTTAAGTCATCAAAGTAAAGCTACTTTTCTCCTGACATTGTCAGTAACGTTATCGTAACAGTTTAATGCCAACAGTATTACTCCATCGACTTTTCCATGTTGATTTAAAACACTGAAATATCCAATCCTCCTGCGCAGCTACTCATGTCTGGTTGTTTACACTCTCTCTGGCCAAACATGGCCGTTGACATACTCACTCGTAGAAGTTGGTCTTCGTGAACTCTTTAAAATGCGCAAATCTTAAATTACAAACAAACTACTACGCAGTTACCAATTCAATTGTTTTTTCCCTCGCTGTTGTTTTATTTATTTTTTTAATCTTAAATTCCTGTGGTCCGTTAGCCACTCAAGCTAGGTAGCGAGCTAACTTCTCCATAGGGAACAATGACAGCGACTTCTGCAGGTAGCGCCAGCTGTCTCACCGCTAAAGGACTGGACATAAGCCTGGCTGCTCTGCAGCGACAAGACCCATACATCAATAACATTGTGGACGTGGCCAGTCAAGTTGCCCTGTATACTTATAACAACAGGACAAATGAGTGGGTAAGCCGTAACTTGACTTGATATGCTAACTTAGCTTAGCTTCGTACCTGATAGGCGCGCTTTGTCATCGACACAGATTTTCTCCAATTTAAGTTTTACCATTTAGAGGACGGCAGCTGTTGTTGTTTAGGGTTCAAAATGTGTTTTTTTCTTAACAATTGAAAGATATAGTCCTGTATTATTTGATTTCCTGAAACATTGAGCCACAGATAATAGATAAAGATGCGCATTGCCCCCGAGCACTTTAAACGTAAACAAGTATTTTAAACTGCTCGCTCTTCATCAAGGGGTTTTTATTTGTTAAATATTTCATTTAGCTTGTCTCCAGTGACTAGATTAGGCTGTGAAAATTATCACTTTACTGTTTTTTTCTTTTATTGTACGTGTTTCTCAGGAGAAGACCGAGGTTGAAGGCACGCTATTTATCTACACAAGGTAACGTTCATGTTTATCTTGTTTCCAAAGACTTTCCGTGCTAAACTAACTTGACTTAAAGTAAAACTCTTCTTATTTGATTGTTGGGAATTCCTCTAAAGTTTTTTTAGACACATTGTCATATCATAAAGACATGCCTGAATGTTAACAGTCTAAATGAAGTATTTTCTATTTAATATTTAATCACTTAACACAACTGTTTGTGTAATACATCACGGGCAATACGGTTGGACAACATTACACAGCTGAAGTGCCTCTGGTTTAAAGTTGAAGTTGACTCACTTTTGCACAGATTCTTCACCATTATTTCTGTGTCGTGTCCTCTTCGTGTGTCAGACTGGCATCTCCCAGGCATGGTTTCACCATTATGAACCGACTCAGCATGGAGAACCTGACGGAGCCAATCACCAAAGACTTGGACTTTCAGCTCCAGCACCCCTTCCTGCTTTACCGCAATGCACGATGTAAGGAGAGCGCTCAAACTGCTACACACAGACACGCCCTTCTGATGTCCACTCATTCTTTATTGATCCCTTCAGTTATTTGTTAGCTCAACACCTGTGGAGCGCACTACATGCACAGGCACATTCAGTGGGATTTTGTAATTGTTGCAATTTTTTTTTTAATTCACTGCAGTAAATTCTAATTATCAGTGCCTGAAGGTTTGAACTCAAGACGAACCTTTGTTTATATTAAACTAGTGTTGGGCGGACAGTCACAGTGTGAACACCCATGGATGACCAACTACCACCACTAGCCACATAGACTGTAAAACAACTTTGCTGTGTTTCACGGGCAGCCAGAGACATTGTGACCAACTCTTGATAAGTCCAGCAGGACTGAGAAAGAGAGACCAGAAAAGACATGGACTAACTGGGAAGAAAATTTAAATTTGAAAATTGCACAAAAAACAACAGGATTAGTGCTTCTTTTTTATTTTGTGGATCTGGTTCAAAGGCACAAAAAACAACAGGATTAGTGCTTCTTTTTTATTTTGTGGATCTGGTTCAAAGACTCTTGTCTTGATCCCTTTTTTTAATGTCCCTTACTCTTTAAATTGCTTACATAAAATACGTACACTACATTGCGTATATTTCATCTAATAATCCACATGAGACCAAATCCATCTTACGTGACTTTTAAGACCTGACAGCAAAGTGATCACAGCACACTTAAAAATGCCAGGTTTATCTATAGCCACGAGGAGGAAGTTAGATAAAAGATCAACAATTTGATAGCGTGACCAAAGCGTGTAGCCGACTGCCCGTTTTAGTCGGAACAGCTAGTTCCATTTAAGGAGCAGAGATATTGCCAGTTCTGTCAGCCTCTCTCCCTCTGAGACTTACTCACACGCTCTCTCGCACAGACGGGCACACACACATCACAGTGTGCCGCTGGTACAAGAGCCTGACGGCACTCCAAAGCCAGCCAGCAGAGATTAGATACACCGCAACAGTTCCTGATAAAACCAACTCACTCAGGAATAGCTGAAACACACACAGACCTCCCTCCCTCCCTGTCTGTCTGTCTGTCATGGTCTCACACTCTCCATCAGGCTCAGTCAGAGGCAGGTGGAATGCTGTGTTTAGATCCCAGTGGATTCCTCACGCTTGCATTGCAGTGTTTCATTAGTATTACTGATATTATAAAATACCCTAAAGGCTCAGGGAAGAAATGCTTATGACTTCCCTGAGACTCCTTAGTATTTTCTACTTTAGTTTGTAATGCAGTAAGGACACAAATAAGATCTGTGGTAATACTGGTCTCTGGATGTGCTTCAGGCATCGGTAATGGAGAGTAAATTGCAAGGGAACAGCTAACTCACATTTTTTGGTGAAGGATAGGAAAGGAATTTAGAACGCATAAATCTGGGTAGCGGTTACGTGAATTAAAGAGTGGGTGAGTACATAGCAAACCTAATGGCTCCAGACGATTGCACTGATATGAGACGGATAATAAAGCTGGCAAATAAGGCGAGATACACAGACGTTCGTCATCGAGCTGATCTTTATCACCACAACACTGTGATTCACAAGCATTTTTGCACCAGCAATTTCTTTAGCGTGCGGATTTGTGACTAGGCCTAGCCAGATTAAACTAAAAACACATGCACACGAATGGCACCACATAGGCTCTAATACACATCCAAATGTCACATGATCACCAGTGGGTGTTTCCCCAAAGGTATACGTGGGTGGGATGAATCCCTTCCAGGAAACTGTATAAACAGGCATGCATCTCAGCTCAGGAAAGTTTTTTTTTTTTTTCCCCTCGCCAACACTGTCCGTAGGACTATTTGGACCTCAGTCCCACCGTGTCACGACCTCTGTGAGCAAGGGTCGTGGAATCTTATCCTTGGATAAACATGTAGCTCGTGGTGCTGCCGTTGCTTCCTGGAACGGCAGTTGGCACAAAAGTGGCACCCCGTGTTAAAAATAAACGGCGGAGGATTGAGATATACCAAAATACGGGACGCGATTAGGGAGAGATCTCTCTGGGAAGTTTCCCCGTACAGGCAGGACGGTTAGAAAGCTTTTTACATTCCTGTACGCACCTACTATCCCCAGCAGCCTTTCAGTCGGCCCATTATCTGCAGTGCCCGTGGAGTTAGGTGCCCCCCCAAACCCCGTTGTGTTACTGTTTGATTGTCGGCTGTGGCTCCACTAGATGCAGGTAGCTAACGGCCTGTTTTAATGTCTTATTCATTCAAAAACCTTTTGTGGGTTGTCCCGAACATGCTTTTGTGACTTTTAGGTTGCGGTGGTCTCAGTTTGACACTTCATGTGCCAGTGACAAACTCATGGCCAAGGCTGTTTTAAATTTCCCGTATTGACAGCTGACCAAAAATGAATGAACAAGTGGCTATTTTGATAACAAAGTAATTGTTTAAGTAACAGACTTTACTTAGTTCCACCTCCCCAACCATGAACATGAACAAGATGTGGCCATAAAAATAGCTTTTATAGACCTTAATTCATTGTTTAAACAAGGAAAGCAACAGAAAATGTAACGTGGCCCACTCGGTTTACATCAGCAACAACCCGAGGCGCTGTATATCAGGCTGTATGGACAGTTCTTACCTCCAGGTTGGACGTATGTGTACCCCAGGTTTCTCTCTGACACCATCAAGCCCTTGAATCTGACCTCGGGTTCTTCCTCCAGTCTCTCATGCTTGGGCTTCCTCTGAAACAGGCCTCTCAGCATGGCTCCGTTGCAGGGTTTTTCTCTCTTTGAATTTGAATTCTACCTTGAATCGCAGCTCCAGTAGCGCTAATCTGTCGATACCTTTCAGTGAAAGTGACGCCGAAGGGTGCCGTGACGCTTCCTCTGATGCGGTTTCAAAAGAATGTGGTGATGGTCAGCTGTTGCAGTTGGCAACGTTAGCAAAAATAAAGAAATTAATTTCAGCCCAACAGGGAAGGTGTAACAAGAGCGGTGATGTCTTCTCAGATGACTTTTGTTTAGTATTTACTCCCCCAATGTCATGAATTCCATTCTTCCAAAGAAAAGAAGTGACGGTTGTTCTCGGTCCACAGTAATTCCAAGCACAGATGTGCGTAAGGTGTGACAAACATCCAGCAGACTAAACATCGCCTGAAAGAATATCAACCCTCCTCATCGTGTCACACTGAGCTGATCAGCAGTGAAAATACACCTCATCCATCTCGGGCAATGCGGCTGCCAACAACTTTGTCTGCATTTCTAACTGCGCTGAGTCTAAACCAAACACAAGTATGTCGAGAGCAGTCCAAGCAGCGCACTTTGGGTGACAGCCAAACACTGTTGGTGTATTGTCAAAGACCGCGGAGCTCAGATTTAACCCCAAATGCCTCGTTTTTTTAACTCAAACGCCAGCAGAGGAGCAGTTGAGATGGAATAAGACTTAAAGGCTCCAAGGACGAGAAAAAAAAAAGACTATGAAATAGTCCCTTATCCGTCCAAGTCCCTCTGGAAGACTGAAGTTGCACAGCAGACACCACGCGTGTGCCCCCGTGGCTCGGGACGGTCGGGGAGGGGGGGGGGTCAGTTTTTTTTTCGCTCGAAAACGTGAAGGCTGGTGTTCGGGATCGCCGCTGCGACGGCTCCTCTTGCTTCTCGCTGTCCTCTTCACTCCGTCAGCATCTTGTCCATCCCTCCCCTTTTTCTGTCTCCCTGACTATCGCCCTGAAAGTGTAAACGTCGTTGCCACGGCCCCTTCTTTGTTGGTGCTACTGGTTGCCGTCCTCCTCCCACTCCGTCTCTCCCTCTCCCTTTCTCTCGCTCTGAGGGGTGATTCTATCTGTTTTGAGGTTTTGACTGTGCAGTTCAGCGGAGCTCAAAGCGTCTCATGATCTCCTCTGTCTTCTTCACCGCGTCCTTTGTTTCTCTTCCTGACTTTGTGTTAAATGATTTATTGTCCTGTTGTTTCACCACATCGGTTGACTTATTTGAAGAAACTCTTGACAGCTGATGAGCTCCCCGCAACTAGATGTTTCTCACTTTGACGCTGGTAACTCTCCCTTAACACACCTCACTTCTTTCTATTTTACATCCGTCTCGTTACCCCCCCCCCCACACATTCCCCCCCCTAGATTCTTCCAGCGCTCTGACATAGAGTCGGTGTCGCTGTGATCTCTAACAGTCTCATCCCCAGTGAGCACTAAGCGGTTGCAGTTACTTATTTTGCACTGGGCTGATTTTCCCAGGCTCGACTGAAGTGTGTGTGTGTGTGTGTGTGTGTGTGTGTGTGTGTGTGTGCGTGTGCGTGTGCGTACCATGCTAACCTCAGAGGCTTGTCCGGCCTTATTTGCAGCCAAGTGTGTGTTGTGTATATTTTTGTGCATGTCTGTCTGTGTGGGAATGTGCGCTTGTCTCTTTTTGGCAGGACTGGGAGTGGAGGGGGTTTGGGGGGGGGGGGGGGGTGGTAACTGTCCACCACATGCAGCAGATGACTTGGTTCTCTTTGCCTTGTTAGGGTGCACCTTATCTTCATTGGGGATTCGTTCTAAGGAGTTAGCGGGTTGGGGCGTTGGGTGATGTCCTGCTGTCTGATTAATGGTTCTCAAGAGTATGAAGCCTCACTGTTTTGGTACAGACTGAAATGTGTTTGAGTGGCAAACACTGTTCAGCAGGTGTGGAATTGTACTTCATACTCCTTTTTATCTAATTTGCATCTAATGAGTTTATTATTGAAATCCTGTGTGTGTGTGTGTGTGTGTGTGTGTGTGTGTGTGTGTGTGCGCGCGCTGTACTTGCTTTGCAGCATGATGCATGAAGGAAATGGGACTCTGGCTGTTGCTCTAAACCTGTTTTTTATTTTTCTGGGACTACATTTTGTTCTTAAGTAAAATTAGGAGTCTTTCCGCACTGACTGGAATTGAATCGGATGCCTGAACTATTTTTTTTTAATGTGCTTTTGGAGCCAGAATGAAAGAAAAAAAAGTAAAATGAGTCCCCTTGTTGTGTAATGCAACTTGCTCACTGCGGAGTAATCCCATTTACCTCCCTTGTTGATCATATTTGTGTAGTTCAGCAGACTCCAGTTCAGAAACACATGTTTCCCTCCCTGTGTAACGGCACTGTTGGCTTTTGTTGCCCTTTGGGAAATCACTTCTTTGAGGCCCAGCAGGGCTATTAACTAACGCTTCACGTGTAGGTCGGGCCTGCGTTGATGTCGTGGCGGCGGAGTTGGACGACAGAATGTCTCTGCCTTCATTTGATTGTGACGGCACTGCGGCTCTGAAAAGTCATTCCGTTGTCTGCTGACCTTCCCGGTCGCTGCTTTTCCTAAATCGACCGGCGGTTTCGTTATTTCAAAGCTTTACTCTGTCTTCAACGTCAACTGGGACGTCCCCCTGGACCAGGACCTTTTTGTTACAGGTGTTCAAAGGTTCACTGCTCTGTCTCTCTGTCCCTCTCTTCCCCAGTTGTTATCCACGGCATTTGGTTCTACGACAAGGAGGACTGTCGACGCGTTGCGCAGAGGATGAAGACGTAAGTGCTTATACAACACCAACGTGTACGTACACAGAAATTGAAAACAGCACGGGGTCTGCTAAACGGCGAGTAGTGAGTTATTAGCCTCGGGCTGACACTTTGTTTAATGTCTCGCTCTCCGCACACGACAGAGACTGCGTGTGTTTACTAATGGATCCACTGCTGATAGGTAGAGCCGACTAATGACATTTATTATGTGAGAAGATGGAGTGCTTGTCTTACCCACTTTACTGCTTCTCTGTTCTGGGTCTGTATGTATTCTCACGTGGACGTACTCGTGTGTGTGTGTGTGTGTGTGTAGTTTGACCCAGCAGGAGCAGACCCTGGCTCAGTCGCAGGGTGGATGGTTGTCCCCAGGAGGAAGGGGAGGAGTCGTTGGAGGAGGAGGACGAGGAGAGGTTGGGGGAGCACTTGCAGGAATAGGAGGAGGAGGAGGTGGCGGTGGCGGTGGCGGCGGCGGCGCGGGAAGTCAGGCGAATGCGGTGGACATAATCCAGATGTTGACCAAGGCGCGCACCGAGTATGACAAGGTAGGATAACACCAAATAATCTGCTCCCCAGAAAGTATTTTGCCATTGGTTTGTTTTGCTCTGGGATAATTTGACACGCGCTTTATGGGATTGTTTACATCTCTCTGATTCTCTTTTTGCCTCTTTTTTTCCCCCTTTTTCTATATGTCTCTCTGCATTCAGTCTGCGTCAGAACCAAAGGAGATCGGAGGCAGCAGCGTTCTTCATGGAAACCCCAACCTGATCAAACCGATACCTGTTAAACCGAACAAGCAGGTAAAACATAGACATCCACTCCCGGTTTCCCAAATGATGATCATAAGATGTGTGATGAACAGTAAGAGAGGCTATTGATTCCACAGCAAACTAGATAATAGTATCTGCTAAAGCACAAGTCAGTTGGTTTTCACAACCAAAAGCAGGAAGTGTCAATTTGACATGGTTGGTAGTCTAACTCTCTCTCTCTCTCTCTCTCTCTCTACCGCCCCTCCGTCTCATCCAGGACAGTGACACTCAGCCCAAGCCTCTCTCTCTGGCCACTCTTTTTGGCTCTCAACACTCACCCAAACCCGAAACGGTCCCTCCCATGGCCGCCCCCGAGACGGGGACGTCGGTGGAGCGAGTGGCGCGCCCGCCCGTGGCCCGCTCCCTGAAATACGGCGACGCGGTGAACTCCAGCAGGGGCGCGGCCTCCGAGGGAGGCGCCGCGGTCAGCCGTCCAGACGCGGCGCCGAGGGCTACGGTTGGAGGACAAACAGTCGGGCAGCACGGCGGGAACGCCGTCGGGGGCTCGCTGCCGAGTCCCACTGGCGCCCGTCAGCAGCAGCAGCATCCTCCCCAGCACTGCCCGGCCATCCAGAAACTCATGCAGGGACAGGGAGCGGTCGCGGTGGTCGGAGGTGGTCTTCAGACCCTGTCCGAGTCCCCCGAGAACCGGCTGTGTGACAACGGGGTGCCGCTGGAGCTTCACCACCATCATCACCACCTGTACCATCATCATCACCAGCAGCACCACCTTCATCATCAACAGCAGCTGCAGCAGCTGCAACAACAGCAGCAGCAGCAGCAGCAGCTCCATGCTGACCCAATCATGAGACTTTTCCAAACCCAGCCCACGCCGCCCTCCACCAACCTTCCCGCTTTGCAGCAGAGCCCCCATCGGTCCTCGCAGACCCTGCTGGTGGATTCGGTCTCCTGTTCACACCTCCAAGCGCAACAAAGCCAGCAGCTGTTTTTCAACCTAGCTAAATCTCAGACGGAGGCACAGGGCAACAGCCGGTCCGCTTCAACTATACAGGGGCCAGGTGGGACATCTCTTCTGAATAAGCAGTGTGACCATGTCCTGAATGAGTGTGCAACATGCATCTTTCGTACTGAATGCATTTTAAGATGTGTACGAGTACCATTTTTCATTGTTATTTTTCTCTGCTCTACCAGGTTTGCTTCTATCTCAGGTGACCGCCGACCAAGTCCTTCAATCTTTACAAGGTGTGGCATCAGTTTCCTCAAAAAAATAATCGCTTTGTGGTTTCGGTTTTGTGTCAAGCAACATATGACCGTCGCAGATTCCAACCCGCTTGAAGACGGAGCTGTTCACACTCTATTAATAGTCGTGATCGCAGGTCCACCTACAGATGTTTGCCTTTGTATCAATCTTTAAAATGCCTCTGCTGAGATGCCTGTTTCATCTGATCATGCCCTGCTGCCAGGTCCGTCTTCCCAGATGCCGGGTGTGGTGTCGCCCCATGAGCTCCTGCAGAAGCTCCATGTGGTCCAGCAGGAGCAAAGCCTGACTCCCCACGATCCCCCGCGACTCTGTCCGGGACTGGCCCCTCGGTTCTTTGGGCCCACTCAAAGTCAAGGGCCGGTCTCTAACCAGACCACGGCCACCGCGGGGCAAAAGGCAGCGCTGCAGTTTCAGGTGAGCGCTACCCAATGGTAATCTACTACTTGCTTTACCACTTCTTTTAGCTCCCAGTTAATACATATCTCCGTCCATCCAGGTCATCTCCCCCCAGCGGATACCAGCCACTGTGGCCCCCAACCTGCTCCTCTCCCCTAGTGTGTTCACTCAGGCAAAGTCCGGCGGCGGGTTTTCAGCTGTTGCCCAAGAGAGCTGCGCTGGCCCCTCGACCAAGTCCCAACCCCCGCTGCAGGAGGAGGTCAGGGTCCTGTCCAGAAGCCAGATTCAAGCCACACTGCTGCACATGATCCAGGTATACAGATATTTTATTACTGATCGAATCTCACACCAGCAGATTATATTGCTCAAATCATTTCCCTTTGTCTATTTGTTCGTTGCGGAAAAGCAGAGTACATGTGAGAATGCACACGCAGGTCGTGCACACAAACATACAGTATGATGAGCCTCGCTTGTGTGTTTCAGACTGACAGCTCATTCCTGGACACCATCTACGAAACCTACGTCAGCCGCTTTGCTAATGACTCCAGCAGCAAGTACTGATGACGCTTCACACCTTGTGTCTACACATATACTCCCTGTCCAGAGTAGTGGGGCTCATTCTTCTACATCTAACATGGATCTAGCTCTTCCAATCTCTCTCACACACACACACACACACACGCGCAGTTACTGTATCTCCTCTGCACTGAAGAGCCAGTGAACCTTTAGAACCAAGTCGATTGCAACAACAAAAAATAAGCAGTTCAAAAATGACTTGTGTCAGTGTGTGTTTCCATTAAAAAAAAAAAACATTACTTTTTACATTGAATTTTATTTTTATTTGGGTTTTTTGTAATTCAAAAATGAATTTTGAAACAGTAGTGCTAAAAGACGCACTCAAACTGACTTGAAACTGGCTCCACTTGTGAAATTGAATGTAAAACATTTTTTAGTTCTCTGTATATTTGCAAACGTAAATATGTTTATTTGTTAACCAAATTTGTTGGGTTTTAATTTACAATTCTTTTAAATGAAGTTCATACTAATTTACTTTTACTATCCAAATTATTTTAATGTTATTAAAATGGAAACTTGTTGTTTTTAATTATTTACATTCACTCTAGCTGGGATGAATATCTGTATTTTGTATTTTTAGTTACTGTTGATAAATTGTCAAACTAACTCAAAGTAGCAGGGAAAGTAGAGGAGACTGTTAACTTGCCCTACCTCACAGGGACCTAGTTTTTATTCTGGCAAATGTCACTTCTCTGATTTTTATTTCAGTTTAACATGAACAAACAAAAACATTGACAATCTTTTAACACACTGAAACATCACCCCAGTTGTATCACAGGAAGTCCCCTCAGCAATAATACAACTTTAATTCATCAAACAGGCCTGTCAAATAAACTGTATTGTACTGGATGTACTGGATTTAAAGCCATAAAAAGCAGCAGAGAATATATTTAGATGTATCCAGTGATACTTGTTTTCAGTTCACAGGCCTGTACAAAGCTAATTTAGAAGAAGGTATGTTAGAAAATGCACTTCCAAAATACTGTACTGTCACCCTGAAGTCAATACAGATGTCACAGTTTGCTGTTTGCTCACAGCGCCTGTGAACTTGTATACAGCAGCCACCAGAGTTCACAAAAAACAGCAACAACAGACAAAAGAATACATTTGAGAGCAACAAATAGAATATTTTGTTTCCTATTTTTGTACTCGAGCGAATTCAGCAAAACGTATTGTCAATGTACAAATAACCAGCATGTTACATTATTAAATAAATGTAAAACTAACGTAGAAGTACAAATCCATTCTTATACAACATATCTAGTTATTGTCTGTTGCTGTTTTTATTCATCCATAAAGTATTTTTTTCTTTTTTTTTTGTAATTTGAAACATTGTGAGACATCGGAATGCAGGTGAACATTTGTAAAATGTTTTATGTCTTTTTGTCCGAAATGTTTTGCTCTTGCATAAACTGGAATATATTTTAATCGGATATTAAATGTTCTCAAACTTACTCTGGTGGCTTGCTGTCTTTTTTAATTGTCTCCCTGCGACCGTTATTACGATTATTATTATTATTATCATTATTATAGTTATTATTCAAGATTGATCCAGCTTCAAGTGACACTTACCACAATAAAGGTCCACTCGTTATTGCTTTAATGTCACCCTGTTGCCTTCATGTGCCACGATCGATAGTGTGACATAATGTCCACAGTGATTAATCATCTACTTGTACACCACCAGCAGTATTGAGGGACCTTGCCCAATTAACTCTAATAAACCTAAATGAACACGTTTAGTTTTTCCGATATTAAATTGCTCCCCGGGTTTGTCGCGCCCCGCCGAGCACACGGAACGAGCCAATAAAGCGGAGCTGCTGACGCCACCGAGCAGCCGCTGAGCTCCAGCAGACAAATCACAAACGAGGTCCACTCAGCGGCTGTTGTGGAGATCAGCGGATGAAGCAGCTACTCAATGCATTTTGTAGATGCCATGTTTTACTTCAACCATTTTCACAACATCGCCGTGCATGTTTTATTCAGTGTGCAACATCGGCGCTAAATGTCTCTTGAGTAAATGAACTGACAACAAATGACACATGAATAACTCACTGATTTATTGGCGATCCGATGGACTAATTCCCCCCCGTCCATGAAGTCATCCGCCGGTCTCCCATGACAACCGGGACAATGGGGATAATGACCAGCTGCTTTCAAAACTTTCCCCCATGGCATACAGGCCTACAGTGGGATTCTGTTAATAACGCAAAGAGATTTAAATCCAAAGATCGTGCCCTCCCTGGGTGTTACACAATATTGTCGACATTCTGCGGGTCCATTAGTACTAACTGGTGTTGTCATCGGGGCTGTTAATGGCTCACACCCGATCAAGGATAGGAAACGCAGTGTGAAAGGACCACAGTCCAATCAATCTGCTGCCCACTTTTTATTCTTACGGTAGTGGAATTTGGCTGCCTCTCCCTTCCTTCCTGCTTCCTCTGCTCAAAACAACCGCACATGGTCATCAACATCAGTACCAGAATTATATAAGCAGACGATTTAAGCCCCGAACCAGAGTCCGCTATAGCAGAGTTCAAAAAGAGGCGTGAAATACAGTGTTCGGAGGGCAGTACGTGTATCTTATTCAGGAGTCACACACACACGCAGAGGTTCCAGACCACTGGTTTAGCTGATGGAGCCAAATCTAAGGGCTGACTATTAGCCCTGACTTGGACTAATCAATGACTTTGGGATGTGTGTGTGTGTGTGTGTGTCATTGGCGAGGGAGGCGGAGTCTTTTTCTCCAATCCAATCCACTTTTGTTGCTTCTGTATTCTCAAATGGAGGATGTCATCCGCATTAACTGGTTTTACTTTTGAAGTTCAAGAGGTGATGCATCAAATGAAGACAGACCAATATTGTTTTTTTTTTAATGGTTATGGTTTATGAGGGTTTTTTTAAATCTTTGTTCCTACGCTAAAGAGTCGTTCTGAATTCAAACAGAATCTTAGGATTCATCCCTCGTGTGACTTGATACATCCTCCTACAGGACGAGACGGGTTGGAACTGTAGCTCAGGTGAGTCATTGCTCTTTGTCAGTCTGTCGGACAGTTTGGGATTGATGCTGAAAAGGTTCCTAGTTTTATGTATTCGTTTAGATATTTGTTGTTGACGTGATGAAAAAGAGAGGTGAATTGGAAAATAAGATAAGTGTTCTAAAAACCGATAGGATAGATAAAATTAATTGAAATCAAACAGAATAAAAACATTATTTCACATCCTCATTTTGCTCTTGATTATGATTTAGATTGTCTTTGTTTGTTTTAGAGACAATTATCTGCAGAACGCTTTTGTGTTCAACTTTATGCTCCACCGCTGACGGACCATAGAGTTGCTTCCCAAGTGTTGAGTTTTACGAAGCAGCAACTGCACCAGCTTTGGTATAATTGGATAATTCAGACTTATTATGTTGCTGTACTTTCTGAGTGAGTTGCGTAATAAACTCCTTCACCTGCTGATAAGAGAAATCAAAAGTTTGTCTATGATCGAGGGAAGGAGGGAGGATGAGGGGGGCTCATCCCTACACCAGTGATCTGGGTCAGTGGGGGAGGAGGAGTCCAACAGCTGCTGTAAGCGTACATAAGTAGAATGTGCATGCATGCGTGCGCGTGTTTGTGTCACTAAATGTCTTAACCGTTCATGTTATTAATCCGAATGCATTTGTGTGGCAGATTTTGACTTCCATAACAGCAGGAGTGTGTGTGTGTGTGTGTGTGTGTGTGTGTGTGTGTGTGTGTGTGTGCAGAGTTTCTCTGCTTGTGTTTCTCACTGTGTGTCCCTGGTATTTGGTTAAATGTTACACTTTTACACACAGCTCTTAGTTGTGTAGAGTGCTGGACACCGTTCTGTGCCTCATGTCTCTGCTGTGGCTCTCGTTCCGTTTAAATTGTCATTTGGGTTTTTCCACTAAGCAACAGACACGAGGTGAGGATTTGTTCTACGGACCATTGTGTGAGGCAATATGAGTCCACTAGGTGTCTCACTGTGTTTACGTTACAGGATTGTCTCAGTCAAGCGCATCTTCCTCCACAAATAGCGACTCCCTTCTGATGCGACTACAACCGTCCCGCCGGGACTCTTCTTTTCACTCTTCCTGATGTCCTTCCTGCTCCCATTCGTCTTCTTTTGTTTTCTTTCACTCGCTTCCCTTCACTTCTTTCTATCCTTCTCTCCTTCTTCCCCACCAAAGACAGATGACCTCTGTTCATTCTTACCACCGCAGCCGCCTTCTCTTCCACCCTTTTTACTTTCTCAGTAAAAGCAGACACACACACACACAGATTGATTGAAGGGGAGAAGAAGGATGGAAAAATAGCAGGTGAAAGAATGAGGAGGATTAAGAACAAGAGAACACACAACTGAAAGCAGGACTAGGATGACAGCAGGTCAAAGAGCGTTAGAAAGACGACAAAGGCAGGAGAGGGAGATGGTATTTGTGTTAATGTGAGTGCATGTGTGTGTGTGTGTGTGAGAGAGAGAGAAAGCGAGAGGGATGGAGAGAGAACAAGAGGGATGGAGGGAGGAGGGGTTTAATCCTGCCTGGATTATGGTATAAACTGGTCCCGCGGAGCAGGAAGAGATACGCTGGGGAGAGACAGAGAGAGGAAGTCCCACTATCGCTCCATCCATCGTTCGCTCCATCTCACTCGTGGAGTATCCGCGTCCCAGCGCTGCACGCTTTCCTTTTCCGATCCACCGGGATGTGAGGTCAGCGGGGAAAAAGGATCCATTCGTGGGGGAAGGGGGGGGGGGATTCAGTCCGTCCTGCTGGCGAACACCTCGCTTTCTGGCAAAGCGACAACTTTGAACGCGGGGCGAAGAGAAAAGTTCACCGGGACGAGTTATCTGCTCCCTCCCTCCCTCCCTTCCTCCCTCCCTCCTTCCCAGCATCCTTTGGACCCGAAGAGCGGCGGCATGGAGGAGAGAAGATGAAGAAGGGAGCAGTAGTGATAGGATTAAAAGGTGTGGAGAGAGAGTTGTAGGGACATGGCGGGACTCCCTCGTGACTCCCGGTGCTCGGACGTGACCTTTGACACCGGAGACGACAGCTTTCCAGACTCTATTGTGTGCCGTGGTGACCAGCTAAGCTGACATCAAGTCATCCACCACACACGCTGTATTAGTTATCAGTCATATGTGAACTTTTCTCTCCAGACCCACGTCTCCCAAAGGGAAGGGTTTTGAAAGCTCTGCCCACGTGGCATAGTGTGTAATCCATCTGAGAAATTCCATCTATATTGATTTTAATCTTCCTGCAACCCGCTCTCTGGCTCCAGCTCGTGCTCTTCTTGAATTTAGCGCCCCGCGTTTCTGGTACGGCGCGTGGGATCGTTTCAATCTTACGGATTTAGAGGAAAAGTAGCTTTCAAATCTGCCCCACTCACGGACTTCTGGCTTCTCGGTATCTTTCTTGAAGCCAAGTTGAGCCTCGATTCTGAGAATGCTTTGAGGATGACAAGCGTCCGCTGTCGTCCGATGTCTCACCTGAGCTTTCTGGATCCTCTGCTTTTCCTGAGCAGGCCTCGGAGTGTCACAGATCCTCCACATGTCACTGCGGCTCCTTGTATCTCTTAGGCTGCACATTTGCAAGGTTCGCCTCTTTGTGAAGTCTCCAGAGAGCCGTGCATGAATGTGTTAAAAAAATAAATTGTGGATAGGATTACTTTTTCAGGCAAGTTGACGAGAAGTGGTTTGATTTCCCCTGTCATTTTCTGAATCAGGCGTGTCCTCGTGGTACGGTGTGATTACTCAATTGGGTAATCCATATTTCATGTAACAGTGTATCACGTCACTCAACTCAACTGTCACTCACCCGCTCACGATTTTGGTTTAACGCGCTTGCAGCTTCAGTGTTTCGCTTGACTTCCAGCGCTCTCATTGGAGTTGTTTCAACATAAAAGCTCCCTAAAAAAAAGCACCTCCCACAAAGCAGACGGCCTGCCTCTTTTCATGAGTGCACTGTGACCCTGAGCACGTCTAATCTGACTTTGCGCTGTCCTAATTTAATAATGTTTCTCTTGGAGCCAGCGTGCAACAATTGGCGGACCGGTGCGGATCGCGGCAGCTGCGGGGATGAAGAGCCGGATCCGAGGAGACGCTGGGAACGGCAGTAAATGGGACAGAAGTGGGAAGAAGATGCTGCTGATGTGGATTATCTTCTCCAGCTCGCTGTGCCTGATGGTCGAGGGCCAGATGAAGCTCTCACCAGAAACGTGAGTCGCACTGGGAAAACTCTCGCACTACTACGTTTTTCGCCTCCACGACCATTTCTGTCGGATTTTAGTGTGACAGCAATGTACATAAATATTTATACTATGCAGGTTTTGTGAGAGACAAATTTGCACGTCAATTCAATTTTCACTCAACAAAAATGTATTTCATTACTTACTATTAGGGTTACTTGTTTGTTTTGTATCACATGTACTCCAAGGACTGTCCCGTATTTGTTACAACACTTGTTAATACTATATTTGCCTGCGTAGGCCACTATGATTGCATCCTTACATGCGATGTGCTGCCTTTTGGCGGCGAATACAAGTGAGTCGAGTGAGGCATGTTGCGTCCTCCTTTTTTTTTTTTTTGAAGCCACAGGTGGGATGAATGAGTGAATTATGCCTTTTTCTATTTTGGCTGACGGCTCCACACAGACACATATGGGCCACGTGGGCACCTGTGAGATGGAGCTGCAGCTAAGTGCAAAAAACAATCCTACCGCCTCTCGTCCAAGAGTGATTAAATAAAACCATGAGGAAAATAAGATAACAACTTATGGTTACTAGTTAACTTTGGGAAGAAAACGCAGGCTAAGGCGCCAATCCGTTCCTTCATCCCTCCCTCTAAAGCTACTCAGATATTTAATGGCAACATATGTGAAACATCAAACAGTGACGTCATTTTTTACTATTGTTTTGATTTGTATTTATTTGCAACTTCCTTCCACATATTTTATAATGTCCTTGTTCACATGAACGGTGTTACGAATTCTGCTCCAATTAGTGTTGAAAAAAGGACATCAAAAATATTTTACCCCTAAGTGACTTGACATTACTCATAATGCCTGTTGTGTTATATCTTCTCTGTAATATTCACTTTGTGAGACAAATGGTTAGTTTCGCCCCCTAATTTCTTTCTTCTGCCAATGAAACGCTGCTGATGTTTGTTGTCCAAACACCAGACGAAGCTCTTTTCCCTGTAAAGCTTTCAAACCTCCTGCTGACTAAAAACCCCAACAGATCGATGCAGCGCTGTCGGTCCACGATGGCCTATTAACTGTGTGTGTTTGTGTGTTTGAGTGTGCGAAAAAAGGTTGAGAGGGGCAGAGAAACTGAGAACATAGCACTGTGTTCATCGCAGGGCAAAAGGCCCTATGCGTTACTTTGGACCTTACACGGCTCAGACAGCGTGCGCCGTCACTGGGCGGGCTGCTGGACGAGGTGAGCTTAAAGCTCCGGGGGTCAACGCAGTTCGGCGAAGCCAGCGAAGGTCACTCGTGCCCAAAATGCTTCACTTCGGCACGGTGGGAGGTTCGGCGGGCCGGGGTCCTTCTGGCCCTGGAGGTTATGTGACCAGGACATTTCAGGCCTAAGAGGTCAAACCCTGAGCAACACCTATAAACAATTTAGAAGATAAAGCGTTTTTTTTTGTGCCCCATCGGGAGCTGCTGCTGCGTACACGGCGACCACGGGGAGGTACTTCCTGTGTTCTGTTTGGTCCGTGATGGATTTGGTCTTTCCTAATCTGGCCCTCGCATGGCCTTTAAAGCGGCAGTGGGTTCATCGCAGGGTGCGCGTGACGGGCATTTCACCTTATGACGCTCGCAGTCATCTGGTTCATTCCAGGCAACAGTCGAGAGCGCTTCTAATACCTGTGAGAAAAAAAATCAATAAAGTGTTCGTTTTCACCCTGTGTCTTTTATGGGCACATTTTAGAATGAGCCAACAGTCACATTTTCAACAAGTTGAAACAGTATTTTAAGTACTGCCGGGTTAGAACTGTGGCAACCCTGCCTGCGAACCGGCAGCGAGCTGGCTGGCCCCCCGTCGCTTGAGCCATCTGTCACATCCTGTCTACTCTCTATTAGCTCTCCTTGGCTGCATTCACATGGAGGATTTGTTGAATTACTGCATGTTATCGAGCACGGAGTAACCTCATGACCTAGTGGACTGTGAGCTTCTACTGTCACCAACACTAATCTGTTTTAATCTATTGTTGGCGAGTGCACTGTGACTTGTCTTCATTATGGCTGCACACATTTTGCGTCCCTATCACTATGAAGCTTTTGAGTGAAAGGATTTGGAACGAGGGTAATTAATCTGATCTTTTCTCAAACCACCGTGTGACACACTTCTGAAATAACTTCAAACATTAATTGTTCCACAATTGTTTTAAAGATACAATGAGTTATTGCGCGTGGAGTCAATTTGGACATTCACCTCATACTGCTTTTTGTTCAGCTTATTTCAATGCATTTTAATAATGCATGCATTATTAAAATCTCAGTGATTCAATTTGAGATCTCTTTCTAAAAGCCGCTGTTTTTAAAGGGTTGATAAATTGAACTGAGGATATTTTAAGGAAGGGTCAACAGATCATTTAGCAATGCTTTAAGGATCATCTTTAGAGCTGTACTGATGTGAAAAGCCCCTGTTACTGATTATACCATACAAGTAAACTGCTTTTACTTAAGTTATTGCATTGGTTTCAAAGACATTGCTAAAGGCCTCGACTATCCGTCACTGATCATGTGTTCTCCGTGCGCAGGGTGCAGAAGTGGGCTGTGTCCTTCGGCAAAGAGATATCTGCCCTGTCCACCAGATACTCTGGAGCTAAACTGCTGCAGAAGGTAAGACATGACATGCGCACGCACACATAGAAACACAGACACACAATGGTGCATCTCAATTGGATGCATTTTGAGATGAGCTAGGATGCAGTGTGCGGCTGTAAATTCCCTTTTTGGACATTGATGTTGAGGTGAGGGGCGGGGGGTAGTGGTAGTGGGAATTAAATCCCTTTTATTGATATAGTACACAGCCGCACCAGAGAAATGCATTGAGGAGGCTAATTGCCGACATTTAGAGAACTTGGAAACTAAGACGTACATTTAGTTACTGGTGAACGGAGACAGTTGGATGTGGAGCAGATGACATCACCAGATCAGACGGAGTAGGACGGAGTAACCAACCCCCCCCTCCTCCCCGCGCTCCGCCGTCCAATGGGAGCGCGACTGACTGGCATAGATTCGCTGTACAACATCTGCACATGGCCCAGAGACCAATGTCATGACACACTTCATTCAAAAGCACATGAACGAAACTCACATGACGTTGGATTTAAACAACACGAATGTGCTTTCGCAGCTCACACATTAAACGTCACGCTGATATACCGTGGCTCAATGAACCCGGTGGACTTTCACCTTTTGTTCACATTAGTGTGACTTACTTTAGAGACTAGAAGGTTATGCTTCTGTGTGTGTGTGTGTGTGCGTCTTTTAGTAATTAGGATGCACGCTCCTCCTCAGCATGCCACCCTGTAGAATACCTAGCAGGCGCTCTCGCCATCTGCCACGCACACAAACACGCTGTGAGACGTGCTCCTATACCGACCGTCTCTCTCCACAGCGTACATGTGTCTTTATGTTTTGTTTTCGCACGCGTGCTTCTGTTCCACAGCTCCTAAACATCCCCCAATATAACTGTGTTTGCGCTTTGTTAGCGCTTGTGTTAGAGAGTGGATCAACCTCAGATTTAATCAATGTGTCGTTTGGTGGAAACCATTTTCCAGAGTGACAACCGATAAGTGAAGTGATGGTCGTGTAGTAGGAGCAGTCATACTGGTAACAACGTTACCAGTTGCTGTGGTAACGCATCGGTAATAGACGTGTGTGCATGTAAAGAAGGCGCATGTCTCCTAGTTGCACACTTTATCCTTTTGTTTGGTCAGTGATGTGTAAAAACCGCCGAGTGCATTAGTTTGAGCTCGGCAACAAGAAGCCATTAATCTCCCGCCTCCGTCTAATCGATGGCTTTCTCGTTATCTGTAGAACTTTTAGTGACTGTCTTCTTTCCTGAGTAAACCGAACAGGGTATTGAATTGTTTTTAGTTTATATTTGAGGATAATACAGAAACTTTTGGAGCATTCATATCTATTTGGCTCCCTTAAATTATAAATAATAAGAATTCTTATCTATCTGGCTGCTTCTCTTATGAAACTGAAAAGCATCATCTGTAAAAAATAGTAATATAATAATAATAATAATAATTTGAAGCTCACTTTGAATGACAAATAGTTAGCTATTTTTGTGTCAAAAGTCGTAATCTCCCGGTTGCCCCACCTTCCTTGGACTCTGGTATGTTGGGATTTCCCATCAGCGAGTATTTTTTCGACAAATGTCACCCACATCACATTGAAAGAAGGGTAATTATCTCCCCGCAATAAAAAATCAAGTCCAATGTCCAAAATATGTCCATAAACATGTCTAAATACGTCGTCTGACATTGCGTCACGTGGTTTTACCATCGCGGCCGGAAATGAACCTTTTGGTCCACAGGAAAGAAACAGCACAACCTCCATTAGATTACAATTATGTAACTGCTGTAATTCAATAGCGCAGTGAACAAACGCACAAGCAGCCAGGATGCACAGATGTCAGTCGGGAAGCGCCATGTGCAGGATGGTTGTCTTGTGGCGTCCCTCTGTCATATTGCAGATTAGATACGGGGTCTGCGGATAATGTCAGGGCTTGACCCTCGTCTGTACTGCAACTGTGAATGCCATCCGCGTGTGTGTGTGTATAATCGTATAATACCAAGATCACTTCCATGATTATCTGTTTGCCTCTGTTTTTTTCCATTGTGACATTAACCAAGATGGCGTATGTGACTTTCAAATGTGAAAATACAAGTCAAATGGGAGCAATATATTACAACAACACTCTTCTCACTTTCTAAAGGATTCTCTGCAAGTTATCCACGCCGCTGTTAATGAGCCAACTGTGTCTTTTCTCTAAAGAAATACAAGGATATCGAGGCAGCGGTGAAGATAGAGGAGGTGGTGGGAGAGGAGCTCGCAAAAAAGTTTGCCGAGGAGATGGAGGAGATGCTCGGGAGGAAGATGAAATCTGTGAAGGTACAATAATAACGCGTTGTGTTGAAGCCAATAACTGATAATCATCTTGACACGCGCTCCTCTGCACACGTGCTTGTTTAAATAAAATTGTAGGTTTGGTTGAACTTGATCATGGAGATAATTGAGCCCCCCCCCCCCCCCCCCTTTGGTTGTGTCGTTAACGCCGTGTGTTGTTGTCGCAGAGGCTGGCGGAAGCGGCGGAGGACGCCGACCTTTACCACGAGTACAACGAAACCCTAATGGTATGTGACAGTCCTGTACAAACGGGGTTCTGGTTGTGGAACATATTTGTTTGTGTTGAACATAAACATACAAAACCTTTATTTGTAGCAATCATGCTAACCAAGGTTTTTACAGACCTCGAGGACGAATATAATTCTTTGCGCGTATCTTTAATCTTTCACGATGAAATGATCTTTCGGTGCCTTATCCTTGACTCCTCTGTCTAGTTTGATTACTTTAACTCCATGCTGATCAACACGGTGGATGGCAATGGGAACCCGCCGGCACTGGGGGGAGACTTTGCTCTGGAGAAGAACGAACACTTCAATAAACTGCCGGTCAACACACAACTGAGTAACATACAAGTCCCTACTAATGTTTACAACAGAGGTAGATAAGTTTAAACACACGCACACGCACACACATATTGGGATATGCATGTGATTGCCAGGAGAATATCCACACCTTTATTTCTCCCTCCCTCTATAGATCCAGATATTCTGAATGGAGTCTACATGTCGGAGGCTCTGAACGACGTGTTCATTGATAACTTCCAGAAAGACCCGACCCTGACTTGGCAGTACTTTGGCAGCGCTGCAGGCTTCTTCCGGTTGTACCCAGGTGGGACACCCTCCCGTGCATCCACGAAATGTCTTCGGCTGCACATGTCCCTCGCGCGTCGTCACAGTCACAGCACGACGGGTGAACGTTGGGCAAACAGAAGCCAAACCATGTACTCGCACAGCGAACGCGATGACTCACGCTCAGCCACAATATGGCTGCTGGTTTGGTCTTTATCCTGTGTGCGTGTGTGTGTGTACGTGTGCGTGTGTGTGTGTGAGTAATCAGGCCTGGATTTGTGACGCCGCTTGTTTTTACTCACCCGCTATCTCATCTCTCATTATTTGACAATCTGTCACGATCCATCCGAGCATTAATTTGTCCATCTGTCAGCTGTCTTCGTTAAACCCACCCGTACTTCTCTCTGTCTCCAGGGATCCAGTGGATTCCAGATGAAAATGGTGTGGTCACCTTTGATTGCAGGAATAGAAACTGGTAAGGAAACGTGACACCGGTCTGACTGCATCAGGGGCCATTTGGCCAATTTAGGATAATAAATCAGTTGCAGGGGCAGTTAGCGAGAGACGTCTTGCTTTCTACAGTAGTCGTTCAGCCTCCTGAATTAGTGACTTTAACAATTTATCGCAGTTTTGAGAAATAACTCAGGCGTCACCAATTCCACTAACCACGTCTCCTTTAGAATTAGTGACCGTGACACCAGCATTTGTGTTGTTATTTCTTCCCCTGCTGCGACAAATCCAATTGCTTCCCCCGCAAAAGATCCATCAAAAAGATTACTGTTTGGTCATCGTACATCAAGTTCCAGGAAGTCAGAAGGAACATAAAAGGATCAGGCTTAAACGGTGCCTGTCCTGTCTGTCCCTAGATTACCGGTTTTATTCGCCGGGCCGCGTTTGGTTTGTGTTACATCAAAGTTAAATAAGTCTGCCTCTTTCTAGGTACATCCAGGCCGCCACTTCTCCCAAAGACGTGGTCATCGTGGTGGACGTGAGTGGCAGCATGAAGGGGCTCAGACTGACCATCGCCAAACACACCATCAACACAATCCTGGACACACTGGGGGAAAATGACTTCGTTAACATCGTCGCGGTGAGCGCACGCGTGGAAACGCTCGACCCGCAGGCAGAAATTCAGTTACTTCGAAGCTTCAAAATTCATTTTGTTTTTAGGTTTTTCAGGATTTTGGCTGCGTGCGTCTCTACCACTGCAAATCAGTTTAATAAGCACGGTTTATCCTGGAGCTACTGTGCGTGTAATCATACGGCCCCTGCAAATCCGCTGCCCTTAAGCTCTTTTTACACAGAAGTTAAAGCTACACAGGTTCAATGAACTGACCACGCAATAAAACAAGTGCCAAGGTTTTAATCCCACTAGTGAAAACATTTTTCATATTATCAGTAGATAAATAGTAAGATCCAAAGTAGATAAAACCTAAAAGACATGCTTGTACATTATGATAAACACCAATGTCAATAACAGAATAATTATTATTAAATTAATATGAATAATATAGCACCCAAATTATTATATAAACGTAATTATTGTTAAAAAGTCAGTTTCCACAGATCTGCGCTTGGAGGAAATGAGTGTAATGTAGTTAAAGGATTTGGTGATATTAAGGGATTTATTTAGGGATGAATTAAAGGGCAATACAACTTGAACCTGTTACAATCATGTTGTTGTTCACGTTGGGTGACATATTTGTTTTTTTCTCTCCAGTACAGTGATTACGTCCGCTACGTGGAGCCCTGCTTCAAGGGCACGCTGGTACAAGCTGATCTGGATAACAGAGAGGTAACGCACGCACGCACGCACACACACACACACACACACACACACACACACACACATACATACATACACACGGACAGACGCACACATAGTGGAGACACAAGATAGACAGCTAATTGATTCACCTAAACACTGCTAACCTATTCATCCCAGGCTGTTATCTCACTAATCCTTTAAATACATTATGCTGTCAGAAACCCTCAGAAACCGTTTGGGTTCGTCTCGGTTTCGAAGAATACAGATATTTCCGCCACTCCGTTCTTCCTTCTTCGTCTTCAGTCTCCTCTTAATCGCCTCCTTTACAAAAACAATGACGTTTTTGTTCTTTTGCACTTTTACTCCTCAACATCTCACCTCCTCTTTTTTTTTTTATTAACGAGTAGGCGCACATAAATGAACGTTATTAATGTCCCATCGTTTCACTCCTGCTTTATTTTCTTTTTTCGCTCCTCATCTGTTGTCCTGTTTTTCACATACCAACACCTTCCCCGTCTGCCCGGCGTGCCTCTGCGTGAATGTTGTGTGTCGGATGCGTGCCCTACTTTCTCTCCCCTGACCGTTATTGCAGATCAGGTGAGGTCGCGATGCCGCTGACAATATTAAGTAGGTCACGTGACCTGTCAACAGGATATTTGATTGGTTTAATGCCTGGAGGCATGCTGTAACAGAATGGGCTTACAGATGTTGGCTGACACACTTACGCATAAACTCATGTTGGCACAAACACATTTACATGACGACTCAGTTTTGCGGCAGTTATATAAGAACTTCTACATCACCAAAAGACTATTTGCCGTGTTTATTCCCACGTTAAGTCAGAATGCATTTGCCCAAACTTCCCTCTGACCAATCTGTATTTTAAATTTTTTTTTCAGTTTTTTCAAAAGATAGAGAAAATAATATTTTAATTCTAGGTCCCTAAAATCAACCTCAAATTAAGGCTGAAAGTTCCATTGCCATGATTGACTTATACATGTTTAAGTGCATGGTTTGATGTCTTGATAAATGTTATTACAGAATACCTTCTATGGTGGGAAGAGATAATGCAGATTGCCGAAAATATTGTTATGGAAACATCTTTTATTATATTTAAGTATTGTTCAAATGAGACAAAAATCATTTTCACACCAATAATTTACAGTTACAGGATCTACAATTCATTTAAGAGTCCTTCAAAGGCTACGTCTATCTGCACAAGGGTCCCACTCACAACAATGTGCCCATAGTATTTGTGTGTGTGTGTGTGTGTGTGCAAGTGTTGATTAAACCTCATTGCCTCAATGTGTTTTAGGGATTTTGCCATATTTGGTCAGCGTGTCACTGAGCCGCGAAATAATCCTGTTGTGTGTCCGTCTCACAGCACTTCAAGCTACTGGTCGACGGGCTTCACGTCAAAGGCGAGGGCAAAGTCAAAAATGCAATGAAGGAGTCGTTCAAGATCCTCAATGAGGTTTGTGCAGTCAGAGCAACTGCTGGATCTTAACACTCACAGGGCTGTAAAGAAACACTCCGACAACACCTAAATGACGCGAGTGTGTGTGTGTGTGTGTGTGTGTGTTTAGGCTGCAGCGCTGGGCCAGGGCAGCCTGTGTAACCAGGCAATCATGCTGATAACAGACGGCGCCATGGAGGACTTCCAGAGTGTTTTTGAAGAGTTCAACTGGCCGGAACGACGGGTACGACACGCACACAAAATAATCAACTACCAGGACTATAGTGTAATACACCGTGAGCAACAAATCACTGACAGCCATCATTTAAAGCAGTTTGAAGTAACAATCAGACGGCGTTCACCGCTTCTCACTACATACTTTATTGTCTGCCCAGGTTCGAGTTTTCACCTATCTGATTGGACGGGAGATGACGTTTGCTGAAAACGTTAAATGGATCGCCTGCAACAACAAGGGTAAAAAAAAAAAACGGCGCGATCAGTCAAGAGTCTGCGTTCTGACGTAAATGGCTCACTTGAATCCATAGTTCTGTCACAAAGAGTTTGGTTAATTCAACAAAGGATAGAGTCAAGTTTTTGAAAACGGCTTAAATTGCTTAGTATTGAATAAAACAGTACCCCCCCCCCTCCTTCTCTCCCTTCGTGTTCTAGGAGGTCTGCTGGCTTTCTGTGTTGTGCCCAGGTGGTGCTGTTCGGGCCTTGGTATCAGGTGCTGCCCTCTTGTGAATTACATGGGGTCATGCAGCAGCCTCAGACCTGAAAATAATCACTTCATCCTGCTCTGTGCACATCAAAAATCCCTGACTAAATACCTGATTATCAACAAAGATAAGACAATCCAGGCAAAAACAATGTCACATGTTCGCTGTGTGTAATCGGTAACAGGTGCACTCCCTTCTGTTGTGATCGTAAGTTGGCACGTGCCTCTGCCAACAACAAAATAGACACACGTACTCTGCTGCAAAAGCCTAAATGCAATTTTAGTTGAGGTAGCGTGTCTACCTGATTATGGCCATTATAAAATGGGAAAATGTTGCACACATTTGTACCTGGCAGTGCTTCAGTAGCCTGTTGTCACTGAGCAGCTACACTGCAGGTAACCCATTGACGTCATTGTTTCCCAGTTGTAGAAATGCCACAAACGCCATGCTGCGCCAAGCTTTAAAAACACACGAAAAACCCATTGGAAGTGATGGGAGGTTCAAGTGTAGTTGTTTTTCTCCATTTGAAACAGGGTTTGTTTGTTTTTAGAATGCAACGTTTTCTCAAGTTGGATAAATTAGTTTATTAAATAAATGTCCAGTACAACCCAAAAAAAAATGTCTTAGCTAAAACTTCCAGCTGCGACTTATTTCATCTAAGTTAAGTGATACAAGTGCCATGCATGTGCGCGTTTGTGTGTCCTGCAGGTTACTACACACACGTCTCCACGCTGGCTGACGTCCAGGAGAACGTCATGGAGTACCTCCACGTTCTCAGCCGACCAATGGTCATCAACCACGATCACGACATCATCTGGACTGAGGCCTACATGGACAGCGTGGTCAGTCTGCTTCTCCCATGTGCTCGCTTGGCAACACGCACGATTTGCTTCAATGTTACTTGGCTTACAGTATGTGATCACACGGTCACGTGTGATCCATTAAACTACTTCCAGAGAGAGGCAAAGTCCCCTACGGATGTCTCACATGGGGTATTATTCAGAAAACACATGAGAGGAACTGCTAGGTGGTTGCCAGGTTGTTACAAAGCAATTTCCGCAGTGATTATTAGGGCAGAAATTGTTGGTGGTTAAATTGCTTTTATGGTGTTCGCTCTGTAGTTGCTAGGATGCTGCGTGAAGATTGAGTTGACACTTATAAACTTTCAGGCTCTGGTGGACCACTATGGGACCTGAATTAATATGTGCAATCGTTAACGGCAAGAGACAAATGTATATCGTATGTATATTTTTAGCTACTTCACTGCCTCCCACTAGTATAATTGCCAAGCTATTATTTCAACACCGGTTTCCATCGTGGTTGTTTCCACTTCATGCTTGTTGTCGTCTTTTCTCCATCTTCACCTTCAGTTGCCAACTACGAAGGAGGTAATCATAGAGCTTCAGTGTAACTTTTCTTTTTGAAGTAGCTTTGTTCTTAATAAAATAAATAGAATACAGTGTGTAGATATCTGTCATATCGTTCCCTTCTCAGGTAATCAGTTTCTTCTTACAGTAATTGTCGTCCATTGGTTAAAATGTGAATGTTACCTTAGTTTATCCTTTAGTTAGCAAGCCTAGATTAGTCGATGCTCTTTGAAATACGTTTTCACCTGAAACCGCTGGAAAAAGTGCTGCTCTGACAGCTGCTTCTTAGTGATTTGAAACGTGTCTTCACTACTTATTACTTCATTTATTTCCCAGCATAATTGGTGTAAACATTAGTTTCTCATTGCTTCCCTTCTGTGCGTCAACTTAGCTGTGTCCTTTGGTTCATAACCCAACCGGGTTAAACTGTGCACACACACTTTTTTTTATCGTTTTGCTAACTAATTAAGCCTGTCATCACAAACCAGGGAGCAGTAATTGATTGTGTCTGTTCTTTGTGTGTTTGTGTACCACAGCTGTTCAACAGTCAGGCCCAAAGCCTGCTCCTTATGACCTCTGTGGCCATGCCCGTGTTCAGCAAGAAAAAAGAGACCGTAAATATTCATTTTCAATCCCCACTGATACAATTAGCCTCAAAAAAGTGTCCCCTGAAATCGTGCACCCACCAACCTGCTGGCGTGTGTCCCGTAGTTGTCACATGGGATTCTGCTGGGCGTCGTGGGAACGGATGTGGCTTTGAAGGAACTGATGAGACTAGCTCCAAGATACAAGGTAAACTACCCTTCAGTGACATTCGAGTCGTGATATGATGTCAATTATCAGGTGTCGGTGATCCGCGTTGTTGCTCCCATTTGTGTCTCTTCAGCTTGGTGTCCACGGTTACGCTTTCCTCATCACCAACAACGGCTACATCTTATCTCACCCTGACCTGCGCCCTCTGGTACCGAAAAATATTCTCCCGTGAATAAAACCCTGCTTGATGTATTGCAATTAACCAAGCAGCGTTACACGGAAAACGTTTCTAAAGACCTTTTCATGTGTCTGCGACAGTATAAGGAGGGGAAGAGGCTAAAGCCAAAACCCAACTACAACAGCGTCGATCTGATGGAGGTGGAATGGGAAGACACCGAGGAGAAAGTGAGCAACGCACACACATCTCTGCCTCGTCTCGCAGCCGTCCCGTCTGTCGTTGTGGGTTTGGTTGAAACAGGTGGAGCTCAGTGTGCAACGCTTGTGTTTCAGCTGAGGACCGCCATGGTCAGAGGAGAAACGGGGACGATGGCGCTGGACGTGAGAGCATCTGTGGATAAAGGAGTGAGTAGGCTAGTTTTTGTGAATGTGCCACACGGGTAGCCTCTCCGTCGCCTCGTTGGGATTCATTTCATTTTTTTCTCGTATTGTTTTGGTGTCTTTTTTTTCCCCCTCTGCTTTCGCCATGATGTTCGTCCGCTCCGTCCCCCTCTTTGTCCCTCGCAGAGGAGAGTGATGTTCCTGAAGAACGATTACTTCTACACCGTCATCAATGAGACACCGTTTAGGTTCGTCTGAGAGCTTTAACAGGATCAATTAGTGTCCAAGTCAATTATGCAACAGAGCAGCATCTGTCTACCTGCTTGAAATGATTAATTACTGATGTATTTTGGACAAACATCTTCTCTGTATTTGACAGTCTGGGTATAGTGCTGACTCGAGGATATGGACAGTACATCTTCATTGGAAACGTCTCTGTTGAGGAGGGTAAGTCTCTTCTTTCTCTGTTAGTTCTTTTGTATTACACAGATTTTGTTCATCTCTTCCGTGTGTTTTTTTTATTTGTATTTTTCTCCCCTCAGGTCTTCATGACTTGCTGGCTCCAGACCTGACCATAGCCAGTGAATGGTGAGATCTCACGGGATTCCATCCATTTCAAGGGGTAGAAACTCTCACTGAGAGTACTTCATTGTTGCGCTGTGTGTCCTCGTAGGACCTACTGTGAGACAGATATTGACCCGGCCCATCGTAAGCTGAGCCAGTTGCAGGCTGTGGTGCAATACCTCACTGGCAAAGAACCACATCTGGAGTGTAAGTGGACCCTTTCGTCTCAGCATATCAATTATTTGTATGTATGTGTGATCTTCATTACCGTCGGCCACATCCAGTGCTTAATATTTATGTCCTCATGTTTGACCTCAGTCCTTTGTGTGATTAATATGATCTCTTTTGCTTTATTCCTCTCGACAGGTGATGCGCAGTTGTTGCAACAGACTCTATTCGATGCCGTGGTCACGGCCCCCATGGAAGCCTACTGGACCGCTCTCATGCTCAACACCTCTGGGTGAGTATTAACACACATGCACACCCACATACATTCTTAATTAAGACATGGGCTTTTTACGCTTTTGTTCACTTGCAATTTCTCTTTACAAATATCTCCCCTTCCATCAGCTCCACCTTCCTTTTTTCTTATGGCCGACTCTCCTTTCTCTCTTTCAGTATGGACGAGGGGGTAGAAACTGCGTTCTTGGGGACCCGTTCCGGCCTGATGAGGTTCCAGAGATACGCTGGTGTTGAGAAAAGAATTGGCAAGTGAGTCAAGAAAACGGCTATTTTGTAAATTTAATATCATCACATCAAATGATTCATACCATGATCCCCAATCAACAAGTTTTACACTAGTAAAATAAGTCAAACCCCTTTTTATGGTTGTCATAGCAGTTAAAGGTTGTTTTAATTATACTTACTTATTAAGTAGGATGAGAGTTCGCCCTCTGGTGGTTGATAAAAATGTAGCACTTCCAAAATAATGCTCCTCTGATGTTCTCTTTATCGTATCCTTCTTTATCTTCCACCTGTTCCTTTGTCCTCATAATGACGCTGCGGAGACTATATTTTTCCTTAGGCTTATTTTTATTTCTCCACAGGACTTTCCTGACCTCCACAGACATGGAGAACATGTTCACATTGGACCATTTCCCAGTGTGGTACCGCCGAGCGTCCGAGTACCCTGCTGGACAGTTTCTCTACTACATGCCCAGACAGGAGACTAGAGGTAAAGGAAATACTTTCATTGCTTATTTTATTTCCAATTTTCTCAGCCCTGTTGAGCCAAATATCTCTCTGTGAAAGGCTCAACTATCCGGCCAGTAGTCAAGAAATTAAAGTGAGAGAAAGGAGGAGATTTCGAAGCTTGTGACCACATTTCATTTTTCCTACTTGAGCGTTGCATGAATGAAATTAATTTTTAAAGTGCGTTTAAAAAAAAGAGCCGCCAGGCAGAATCAAAGGCCAGGAATTTGAACGTAATCTTTTCCGAGTGTCGCAGACTTTAATGCAATTTTGTTGAAATATTCAGCGAGTATGAGGCTGATAACGTCCCTCCTCACTATAGAGCACACTCAAAGGGTCAAAATGGAATATAGTTTGTTGAGTGCTTTTTAGACTCTTAGTTTTTTCCCCCCAGCATGAAAACATCAAACACAACAGCTGCCTGAATGATGTACTTAATCTACAGAGGATTTAAAACCAATGACAATGTGTTTGGATGCTCACACAATTTTAAGCTTCTGTTTCACATGAAAACAAACGGCCTTGTACATGTTTTAGGTTGATGTTAGATACAGCTTGTTGTGTTCAGACGTATTCAGGGACTATGAGGCCGACTATAGCGCCACCTTGAGTGAAGAGGAGGTGGAGCTTGAAGCGGAGGAGGGTAGAGGAAACCTTTTACGTCTACTTGGCATGCCTCCTGGCTCTATCCTCCAACTGGAAGCCCGGCCGATGCTGCGTCTCCGTTTTCTGTACCCTTCTCTGTTTTCTTTCTCTCTTCGTTGTCATTCCTCCTCTTCTCCTCCTCTCTTTTTTCCTCTTGAGGCACGAGCATGCAGTCAGAGTATAAGAAATCCCCTTTGAGAAGAAAGAATCTGCTTTTTTTTTTTTACAGTATTACCTCTGTCATCCTGTTTTAACATTATAACTCAATGTTTAGTGTTAAAACCAACTAAGAAATCCCATTCTGTCAGAGTTTTGTTTTATAAAATACAATTATGAATACATTAAATACAAGCACAGGAAAAAAAACAAAGTTCACTAACATATGATACCTTTGTTATGAGTGGACCAGTTTTTGTACTCAGTTGCGTAACGCTTGCAATATTAATCCGGCTGGATTCTGACTTGCTGACAGTCGGCATGACGGCTGTGAATGGACACAAAGGGGATGAATTAATGACTTTGTTAAATAACACATTCTGAATCTGTCTCCCCGCATATTTCTGAAAATATTTTGACAAATCTGTGCCAACATACAACACATATAAATGATGCATTCATTAAGTTAGAGCCTATTTAGATCTTTTTTTTAAACTTTTTGGCCCCTGTGCATGCATATTGTTATGCACGTGCACATGTTTGGAAGGACCTTTAATGTGTTCGGGATGTGCCTGCATGCATCCTTGTTTTACACACGTACGTATTGATGAAGTTGTGTGTGGATTCTCGCTGATTGCGTGTGTCGCTCCACCAGCAGGGAGGATAGTCATCGCCACCACGGCTGTCACCGTAACGGTGGGAAAGAAAACTGCCATCGCGGGAGGTAGGATGACAACTTTTGTTTCGATTCCCTTTCCGTCCTTTTTACGCACATGTCAAGTCTCCGCTTCTTTTCCTCTGGCGAAGTGTCCTCTCCCTTCACGTCCTATCCCTTTTTTTCTGAGCTCTTTGGCCTTCGATCCCCTCGTCTTTTCTCGCCATTCAACACTGAAAGCTTAGTCGCTGACATTGAGTTGGCTAGCTGGATGGAGATCGCTCACACCATCACTTTCCAATCAGCATGTCGCTAATTGAATATTAATCAATTTGAGCATCTACAAGTCCAAGTGGACAAACTCTATCTGTTGATGACTATTGTGCGATATGATCGAAAGGTGCAGAAAAGTAACTAAATGGAACTTGGGGTGAGAATGTATTTGATGCTTGTTTTTTTTTTTGGAGAAACATTTTGTCTGATAGTTCATCATCTTTGGCCTTTTTTCACTGCTTGCTGTCGTTTGTTGCTGCGTCTGACACGCTCCTCAGTCACAATCATTCCTGAGAGTGTGTGTGTGTGTGTGTGTGTGTACATGCGCGTGCGTGTCCTCGTGTCTTGGTGTACACCTGTATGCATTTGGTGTCCCATTATGCTGATAGAGAGACGAAGAGGGAAAACACGCCGCACAAACCAAGGCGCTTATCTGTATTTCCCAGCTTTCATAGAAGTTGTCTTCGCTGTGAAAATCGTGTTATGCAGAAGTGAGAGAACGAGTTCAAAATAGACGTTTTTTTTTGTCTCCTTCTACTAATAGCCGCTCATTCTTAACTTATTCCTTTTTTTTTTAAAATCTTCCTGCTGCTTCGGTTCATCTCTCTCTCTGCTTGTTTGGGAGCTTTGATATGACAGTTTGTCGAATCCAGAGATGTGCGTAAACATAACTTAAATTACTATTACATCCGCCATTTAAATGAAAGTAAGCGTGCATTATTGAGAAAAACGTACGCTAGAAATACCCGATGAGTTTCTGTGTGCGTTGATGGTAGATTGTCGCACGATGATCACCGGTTGGATAGTTTGTTTTGCCGCGTGTCTGGATGTTCTACCAGCTGCTTCACGTCCACAAAACCACAGAGGGGAAGACAGCATCAATGATTTATGCACTCGCCCTCTTTGAATGTCTTCATCACACACTCTTCCTCACACACGCTTCCTTACCTCCTCACAGACGTCTCTCTTTTCCTATAACTTCTCCACTGCTGAGCTGTCAAACTCCGTCTCCCTTCACTCCCCCGCGCTTTACTCCCTGTGTCTCTTCTCTCTCTCTCTCTCTCTCTCTCTCTCTCTCTCTCTCTCCACTTTGCCGTCTTGCTGCTTCACAATGTTAAAAAAAAAAAAAGGTTGTGGTTGCATTTGTGACCACAGAGTGTCAGCGTTTATCCGAAACCGAATCCCGCGAGTGCCGAGGGGCTTTCTGGCGGATCTGGCGGCAGGTGATGAAGGCCAAGGATTTGGTATTTCAGACGCTGATCCAGAATCAGTCAACAGTGGCTACAAAAAACACTGTGTTTACACTCCTCGGAGGCTCAGCGTGGATTAGCGCGGCCCTCGTGGCAGAAGTGACGGGCTGTATGTAAATAGAGCTAATACGCTCCAAGTGACTGAGAAGCAGGCGGTGAGAAAGACGGGGGGAAAGGAAGAAAAAAGAAGAGCGAGCAGGGAAATAATAAAGGACAGGGAGAGACATTTGACATGGAGGAGGAGGAGACGAAGGGGACAAAAATGAGAGAGAAAAGAATGGCTGGCGAGGATGGGTGGGATGGGAGGGATGGGGGGGGGCACAATAGACCAGACAAAGGATAAAGAGGGCAGAGATGAGAGAAACCAAAGGTGGAAAATACTGTAAAAAATAGTGGGAGGAGAGGCGACGGAAAGATAAATTGAGACAAGATAAGTGAAGGAGGAAGAAGATGAAAAATAGAGAAAGGTGAGAGGCGTTAGAGGCGTTAGAGGGCAAAAGACAGAAAAAGGAGATACGGTGCAATATACTGCTATCGTGACTGATTCATGCTTTCATTTTCCGCTGTGGATTTAATCATTAGTGATTTCTCTTTCACCCAAAAATATATTGTACACTGTAAATAATTTCCTTCCTCAAATGATGTAAATTGTTTAACGAATATTAGTGACATTTAAATCTACCAGATGATGTCATGCTTCTATAATTTATATTGTTTGTATAAAATATCCAGCACATACGTTCTTTTTTAAATCTACACATCCCTTAACCTTAAATAATACTGCGTTTTTTTTGATGATATTGAAATAATAGCTAGTTGTCATAGTCTCTCAATGCTTGGGAGGGCATCTTGGGACTGGATTTAATTTAGACATAAGTGTAATGTGTTTTTATTCAAATCCGTTCGCACTGACCGTATACAGTACTCTTCCCCATCACCATCACGTTGTCATTGTCATGACCACAATCGTTACGGCAACACAAGGCGCCATAGCCATTAGTTTTTAAGGCCCTCAGTCATCATGGCTGCTGCAGTTTTACGTAACAAACTATAATTTATTTTTCTTTGCACACACAGGCTATAGGAACAGGTTTTTCTGCTAGCTAAGATACTTAGCTACCACCAACACAAGAGCTGCGCAGGGCCGGGAGGACAATGGTGCCACATTCATAGACAGAGTTTAGCCATCGCCCTTTTCTTCGGTGCCCCAGAGTCCCCTGTGATTCACTTTTAAACCCCGTGTACCACTTCTTCCCGAAGATGCTGATTATTCAGTTTACCTGAGCGTCTTTGCTGTCATTAGTGAGGCGAACGCTGTGGCAAAAAGTGCGTTCACACTTCATTTACAATTCGGGATCAAATGTATTTCTACGGAGTTATGTGCATCTTGACATCAGAACAGCTCAGTATCCAACGAATATTTTCATATGCAACTACTCCGAGGGGAGCGGGGGGGTCCTCTGCAGATTTAAGGAGTTTTCTAGTGTTCATAAAGGCCATTATTGTGAATGTGCCGAGGTCAGGGTGTGTCTTTAATAATAGTTTATCTGATCTCATGTCCAATCTCACACATGGAATTTAAATTGAGGGTTTCAATTTCTGACCAGGAACTTGTTGTCACATTGTCAGCATCATTATAATGTCATTTGGGGACGTTGTAGAAATAAAGTAATAAATGCAATCATGCCCAACATCTTTTAGACACAAATGTTCTGCCTGAAAGTTAATTTAAATCCGTTGCATAATTGAATATAATTTGTAGGATACAAAGTCTCTCACTGTCTCTGCTAAACCACCTCTCCCTGATAAACGCTCCCGTTGTCAATGGCCAAACTCTTTCTATGCGGAAACTGTGACGGCTACTGAACACGAATAAATAAAACACAACAAATGAACAAACATTACACACAGATATTCAAACTAAAACAAAAACATAAAAGTCATGAACACAGCAAAAGACGTACATCATTATTTGGTAGAGAAAACTATGTCAAGTCAAAAACATTTTGGGGAATCGATGGGCCAACACACCATATCAGACTAGTACTATAATAGTTATCTGCATCATACCCAGGTATAAGATAACACACTATAAATATAGGTTTATTTCCAGCCAATGATTAACTGAGATGGGCCGACGGTTCCTCTGCAGGGGAGCAATATGCAATGACAGCCAGGTTCTTGAGACTCTTTATCACTGAGGGCAAAACATCACAGGTTTACGTGAATATTGAACGAGGGAATGCCAAAAGATTCCTCTCAAATATGTGACGATTACTAAGTTTTCAACATAAGGACTCTTTGGCGATGACATCGTTTTCGTGTTGTGGTGACCAGCCGTTGCATATTGCTGAACCTTTAAAGAAAAAAACACAAGAGCAGCGATATGGGACACGGGATGGATGAAAGGAAAGGAGGATGTGGACGTCTTTTAAGAAAGTGTGAAATACTGTCCAAAAATATCACTGGATGAAAAGACGGAAGGGGCGATAAAAGGATGGGGAGGAGCGGGGGAAATTAGCAGCGTCGTTTTGTTGAATCCCTTGTACGTTATAATCCCTTTGGGCAAATCGTCCGTTTTTGGAGGGAGAGAGCGAGAGAGAGAGAGAGAGAGAGAGAGAGAGAGGAGGGATGAGGGCGAGGGAGATCATGTTCGGGAAATAAAGTGCAGGCGTCTGAAGTTTTGTCGTCCTTGACAGGAGACAAAGTTCTCTGAGATAGTGCTTCCATGCCAGAGTCACAAACAGTTACATTTGAGGTGTGAAATCAATCTGACAATGAAAAAATAATATCTGTTTTACAGCAAAGTCTGTGGTCCTCTGAAACGCAGTAAGCCCATTAAAACAAGTGTGAATTGATAACAGAACGTTTTTCCACCACAATAAGTGGCTTTTAATCCATCCAGATAATACTCATCATATAACAAGCATCATTAAGCGAGAGTCTGAGCAAAAGTGAAAAGATACAGCAGAGTGAAATTCCAGTTCAAATGGTTTGTTCCCTGTTGAACTGACAAACAAACAAAACTCCAGGTCTGTGACACTTGGAGGACGTTAACGGTCCAGAGAGAAACAAATCTGGTCCAAATATCGAATCATTGTCTCTGACCTGGTGTATTGAACAAGTCCAGCCGTCCGTGATTGATTATTTTACTCAGTCCAAACGGTTTCCTCTTAGTATTCTCTTTGCAACAAAAGAGAGGGCTTTGAGCATATACATTGTATTTCTTTGTGTTTATCCATTAAGTTCCTCTTATTTCCCCAAAGCTCTCCAACACTGACTGTTTCTTTGTGACCCAGAGGAGGAAACGAGGGATCTGGGTTGTGGTCCTGTGGCTTTTATTTTTGCAGAAACTACTGGCAATGTGAAGAGAGACGCAAACAAAATGAGAGCTGGGCACCACCTACGACAACAACGTCTCCTCATCATCATCAATATCAATAATACATACCGCAAATCCCTGAAAATTCAATCTAGTTTTACAAATACTGACTGACCGTGCACCGCGAGCATCTTCAAACAGCTTAAATGATATGTTTCATACCGGAGAGATCACTAAATCAGTGTCCTGTCTCGTCCGATGTAACGTTAAATTCAGCAGCAGTAGGTGGTTGGTAGGCGAGTTGGAGGGGCGGTCGGTAACTGATGCTGCGGCGAGCATGGCGCCGCTCGGAGGAGAGAACATGGGAACGCACAAGGCGTGTGTGAAGTGTTTGGAAAGAGGGACTGCGGAGGGAGACGGCTAAAAATAGTAGCAGGACGCAGAGAGGGTGATGAGGGTGTCAGTTGGAGAGCCCAATTGAGAGACACCATAACATCTGCGTGCATAAAACAAGCTCTTCAAACTCTGTCCTCTTTGAGCCCTTTTCATCCTCAAATTTCTGCTTCTTCGACCTTCGACGCCTCCGCCCCACCGCGGTCCCGTCACCCCTCTAGGCCACGGAGGAGATCTGTCTGTCCTCCCGCTCGTCCCCGTCCGCCTCCCCGTCCCCCATCAGCGGCTGCCTCTTCTTCAGCTCCCGCTGGTACTTGGCCATCAGCGAGGCGTAGATGCAGCCGTAGGCCGCTGCCGCCACCATCATGATGCAGACGATGCCGCACACCACGCCGGCGATCACCACGGTGCCGATGGCGCGGCGCACGCTCACGGGCCGGTAGCGGGCGCGGACACAATCCGGTGGGGCCTCGGCGCCTCCACCTCCCCCTCCTCCTCCTCCTCCTCCTCTTCCAACACCTCCACCTCCCGCGTTTGAAGAGGAGTCATCGCCAGCGTTTTCGGAGATCGGCGTGGCCCCACTGGGGTTGAGAGCGTTCCTGCTGCAGGGCGGAGCGCCCCCTTGTCCGGTACGGGAGGCCTCCCCTCCCGCGCCCCCGTTCTCGTCCTCGAGTTGGAGGCAGTAGTTGAACATTTCCACCGGGACGCCGCGGATGTCTCGCCCACGGAGATCCTTCGGTAGCGTGCACTCCACCGCGTCCACGTTTCCCCCTGGAGGAGCGAGGAAAGAGGTGCGGAGACAGAAGAGGAGGGTGATTTGTAAATGCCTTACGCCTGTAAAGCAGAACCAATTAACCCACAGAGGGGGGGGGGGGGGGGGCGGTAGAGTTGGATGGTTGTGTGAACACAAGGATGAGTCATACACCACTTAACACACACACACACAGTTTTCTGGGCTCTCTAGCCTAAAGTTAGAGATAACCTCAACGAAGCCCTTCTATAATTCATGAGAGCACGTGCTTAGCTTTAGCAGAGCAGAGAAACATCTGAGTCACTGATTCCCACAGGCGGCAGCGGGGCGCCCGTCTCCGCTTTGTTATTGCCACGTGATAAATGAGTCTTCCCGCGCAATACCTGTCGGGAGGTCAGTCCTTCTCCTTCGATCTGCTACCTCGGACGCGCAAAGCCGCGTGACTATGAGGTGTGAGGTCGAAGGATAGAGAGAAAGGCAGCGCGAGGAAAGCGACGTTTAGGCCGCAGGTGCTTTCATCTCAGTTCTTCGTCGCCTTTGTTTCACGTTCAAATACGGAAAAAGGCCGCTTTGCCGTTCCCTCTGCTGCTCTGGCGATTGTTCAATCATATTCCCGCCGCGTGTCGACCTCGGGCTGACCGAGATGGAGAATGGGGCCCAGCAAAGCGGGACAGAAGCAGAATGAAGCGAGGACGGGGGGGTGTGGGGGGGGAGAAGCGATGCTTCATTAGCGGGGCAGCTGAGGCCCAAGGCGCTGAGGTGAATGTAGATTCTTACACATGATGAGAGAGCGCAGAGCAGCTGCGGTTATCTGATTTATTAACAGCCTGCAGAGGAACGTGGTTAACACGCGGCAAAGCGCTCAAGTACGTATCGACTCACCGATGCAGTCTTATTGTGCCGCTGGAAGCGGAGGCGAAACCCAAGCGCACACTCAGCTATCTTTATAACACTTTCATTTTACGTAGCGCTAAGTACTCAAAGACGCCTTACGGCTGGATCCTTGGAGGAATTCTCTAGTTTAGAGAATCGAACCCGTACCTCTGTACAGCAGCCACTCCATCCAGTGTTTGAAATCCCGGAGGTTGCAGTCACACTCCCAGGGGTTGTGTCCCAGTTCCAGGTGTTGCAGGTTTGCGAGCGGCTCGAACGCCGCCCTCTCCAAACCATGGAGCCGGTTACCTGCCAGAGACAGCCACCTATGAAATAATCAGAGATGAATTCATCGATTATAAGATCAGTTACATGTACCTCTGTGGCGCGGATTTAGAAACCGGGCAACCGCTAAATGTAGTGTGCTGTAACTGTTGAATATCTGAATTGTATACTAACGATGTTACATCACACTGTGCTTAAATCTGCAAGCTGTGATTAAAAACTGCATGCAGGAAAAAGTTTGTCTGTAAAGTAAAGCGGAACAAACATGTCCTTGAATATCAATTTTACCATTTTTTTATTTAATTTTGCACACATTTGCCAGATTTGTTTGGACTGTGTGTTAAGGAACAGTGATGTAAAGTGTTCATAGTGTGTGTAGGTTTCTACCTGAGGCTCTGCAGCTCATCCAGTAGCCCCAGAGGAACAGAGGACAGACCGTTCAGGGACAGATCCAGACTCTGAAGACCCCCCAGACCCTGTAGAAACATCAAAACAAGCACTCGGTTTTCAGCCCGTTCTGTTCGGCATTATACGGTAGATTCCCCTCATCTCATGCTGGTAACATTGGCTTCTTTCACTGATGCCAAAGGAACACGGCTAGCGTTGCCCGATTAGCTCATCTCGCAGGATTTAGTGTCCCAGGTGAAGTCATGACACAGGCTCATCCTGCGCACCGCCTGGGTGCAAGTACAAGTGGATGAGAGCGTTTAGCAAACAATTTACTACAAATTTACAGCCTGGCCGCGATCCCAGTCGTGTCTATCTTCTTAGGTTGGCTCCGCTCCCAATCAGAGACAGCGGAGCCACAGTCAGGAAGGGAAGCAGCGCATCTCTCTGCATCCAGATGCATGAGTTTTTAGGGGTATCAGCTGATCTAATGGTATATTTCAAACAATGCATGGCTCCTTTACTATTTAGCACCATTGGTGCTGTGTGGTCCTTAGCTTGGATACGGCCTCATACGGCCTTCTTACAGACTGCACCACGGGTGGTGTTGTACCTGGAAGAGATCTCTGTCCATCGCTGTTAGCGAGTTGTTGTGCAGAGTCAGTCTCGTCAGGTTGGACATGTCTCTGAATAACCCAGCTGGTAAATTATCCAGGTAGTTATTAGAGAGGTCCAGTTCCTAGAAAGCACACACATAGAAGAAAAATACACAACGCACATTTGCATTTACATTGCCGATGTTTAGTAGTTTTTTAAATTGAAAGTGAGATTCAGCGGCCCGTTCCGAGAGAATTAATGCACATGTCAATCTTAAAAAATGATGAACTGCTGCAAAAAACTTTTAAACATATTACACCTTAAGTGTTCGATCCTATTCAGATAAATTCACCAGTGCAACGCTTGAGTGTATAAATCTACATCAACAACGCAACCAGCTGTCGTGAAGCACTTTATTACAGTGGACTGATGCTTAGAAGTGTGGAAATACCTTGGCTTTTTTTTGCTGGGACAGTAACTATATGTTTCGCTCTTATATTTTCAATAGCAACTTGGCTGTGCTCTGCACACAATATGCCAATGACGAGCAGCCCCTGCAGAGCTTTGAAAATGTCAGCTTTTCTTAACTTTTTCAGACTGAGAGAACAGGTTGTCTGCAGTTTTCTCAGATAAGAGTCTCACTTATTGTCCTGCGGGGGTTTGAGTGTGCAAGGTCACGGCATGAATATCGCAGTGCCACGTAACACAATCGACATATTCAACTCCACTGACAAACAACTGATTAAAATCTGGCCCCTGACCTCCAGAGAGGAGAGGTTAGCGAAGGCCGAGGCTCCCAGCGAGGCCAGCTTGTTGTTGGCCAGCAGGAGGGAGCGGCTCCCCGGAGGCAGAAGGTGAAGTGGGGGCAGTGAGGAGAGACCCCGGCCCCCGCAGTCCACCGCCGCACCGTCTGAGCCGCAGCGACAGGGAGGAGGGCAGGAGGAGGCCGCCGACAGCAGCGTCCACAGGAGGCACAGGACACAGAGGAAGACTTGAGGAGGAGAGGGAGGAGCGAAGAGACACGACAGGATTACATTTAAACGGGGAATTGACTTCAGCTAATCAGGGGGAAGGACTGCAGGGAACGTGGAAGAAAGAAGTGAGCACATAAACAAATCAATTCAAGGGCTTCTAGGTGGAAATCATTTTTTTTTCAATCAAGCTGTCGGTCATTTGTCTGTGTGTGTGTTTGTGTGCACCTCACAGCTGTTTTTATTTCATTTTGGACTATTTATCCCGCAGATAACAACAATTTAATAATTTCTACTCACAACCTGTTTCTACCTTCTCCCCTATTATTCCGTTTCAAGCTTTTTTGTGTGCGTCATTATTTGCACCTTTTCCGTCTGTATTTGTATCCACAAACCGAGGCTTTTTCATTCGTTCCTTTTCACATTCATTCATTCATTCCTGCCTGTCCCTCTCTCCAATCCACTCCAATTGTCTCTCGCCCGCCGCAGTCTCTTCATCTTTTTCATTCTCCTTCACGTCGAGTCTCTTGGCACTGCTCTGTATTCCCTCAGCGCCTCGTTACTGTGGCTGACTTTGTTTCCGTCCAATGGCTTATCGCCATGGCTTTATCTCTCTGGGTATGTGTGTGTGTGTGTGTGTGTGTGGGCATATGCTTGTGCGAGCGAGTGTGTGCTTAGCACCAACAAAGCGTAATATTAAGAAACACTCCAGACGGAGGAGACAGCACTTTTACTTCCTGACACGACTCCGCTTCATCAGCAGATTTCATCATCTGCATATTATTAGCATCGATGTCTCAGCGTGCCGTTGCCTTTTGTCGCACTTTGTCTCATCCTGTTAGTTCATCCGAATCTCTCCAAATGTACTTTCTTTCTCATTTTCTCTTACCTTCCTGATAAAGGATGGGTGATGCATTCAGAAAGGAAAATTGAATGACGTATCACCTCTTAAGCCCATCAAAATGTTATTGAAGGCACAGTTTGGCATTTGGGAAATTTGATTTAGGCAAATATGCAGCGACTCCACAGGCGGCTTGCTCAGCATGAAGAATGGAGGAAATGACGAGCTTCATATGCCGTTGTAACCAAGCTGCATGAATTGACTTTCTTGAATCTTCAAGGAAGTACGTGGAAGTAAAGAGCCATTGCTCTGAACGCTGTCAGTTGAATTCATGTCCCTAATAAAGTAAAGTGTTTTTGTGTGCATATTCAGAGTTATTATGTGCTTTCATTGTCAACAGCAAATAATTGTCTGACTTTGTGTCGTTGCTTCGTATTTGAAAGTTTCCACGTGCAGTAGAAAGGTAATTACATAGAACGAATCAAAACGACATTGTGCAGCTCTGTGAATACACGTCAGAAGTATCAGAACATAAAGACTTTGGCCTTGTAACAGAGATCTGCGTGTGAACCGTGAATGTCTGTTATCCCCTCTGCTCCGTCCGGCAGTATAATCCTAATCTCTGGGAAAAAATGAACGCCACTTCATAAATGGATGATAAAGGGGTGATTCTGAAGCATCCTGTCCCAAGTGGGGACACTTCTGTCATTGCGCCGTCTCAGGAACAATCTGCAGGGATTCCGCTGCAGAGTAGCCTGTGAATTCCTCCGTTTGAAAATGGTGCAGTGGTTTCGTGAGATTTGGGATAACGATGTCACTCAGAGGGAGAAGGGAGCTGGTGGGAGGGGTTGGGGGGGGGGGGGGCATATAATGTCCGATTCCAGACTGTGGTCACCTCTACGCAGCTTCTATATCTCTCCGTCTCCTATGCAGGCTCTGTTTTGTTACAGGTGTTCTTTATATCCGCTGATTCTTCTGCCTCTCGCGCCCCACCGCAACCCCCCTCTCCCCTCATTTCCCTCTGTTATTGAACATCGTAACCCCCCCTCTCACTCACATATCTCTTTTGCTTCCCTCGTTTTGGTTCATTTGAGTTGCTCTCTGTCCTCATGCTGTTATGCTGCACACAGCCTGAAGACGAAGGAAGACATTTGGCCACAGTCGGAGGAAGATAGGGGGGGGGGGGTTCTGTCCAGATAAGTTTGAGGGGCTCTCTGCGTATTAATTCAGACTTCCGACTGGATATTTTCTAAGAAGGCCCAAACACATTCCACAAAAGTGCTGACTTTTTTTGGAGGCAAATGTAATTAGGCAGGGATGGGAAACAAACTGAGGCGGGGCATTAAAATGCAACACCATCTCCCTGTTTGATTGAAGCAAGGGTGCCGAGGCAACTCTGACAGCGGTCTCTGTCTGACAGACAGTTGTGGGAAATGCCCCCCTCCACCAGAAACACTGATCGGCATTTGTTTTGGAATTACATTGCAGAAGGTTAAGGCAATTTTTTTGTCTTCATCCCATATGAATATAATGATTGCGGCTTTTCTTTAAGGTTAATTTTCTGTGATTGCCAAATACGAAGATCGTCCACCCTTTTAAAAGTTCTCTTTTTCATATAGGCACAGGTCAGAGGTGATCCCTTTGAAACTTTCTGCTTGTTTCATTTCTCTTTGTACACATTTGCAGGATCATAATCTTTAAAAAAAATGTTCTTTTTACTGGTTGTCACATTCACACACGCATATATAAAAACAAACAAAGAGTCATATGACTCCAGTAAATGTTTGTGATGTTTCACAGCGTCTCCTAGGTAACACTGCTTAACACCTCCGGGGCCTCAGCTGTCTGTAAGTTTATATGCAGCGGCCCCAGGGTGACACTGGACCCAGCGATGATGTCATCTCCACAGGCACCTCGGTTACTGAGCACAGTCGCATGTTACCAGGGGCCAAGCTGTTTTCCGTGCAGGCGACAGACTCTGGGCTCTCTTATTACCAGAGCGACCAGCTGTCCTCTCTGCAACCGACTCGCCGGCCTGTGTTTGTTCACACTTCGATGCCTCGTCCTCTGCGTAGAGGTCTGAGCCAAAGTGCTTGGAATCGACTCCAATAGATGTCAGATAAATCACCGGCTCGCCTAAACTTACGTGTGGATAAAGACCACTCAACTTAAATTGTGATGAGGATTTTTCACTACTTAGTCTTTAGCTGCAGCGTCAATCAACAGCCAAGCAACTCAGTCAAGCAACTCAGTCAACTTTTAGCATATTTTAAGGGCATCAAGGGCGTTATAATTCAAACGATTGGTCCTCCTCAAGGTCAGTCGCACCAATAACGATGGTATAATGGTGACAGCATATATATTATATTATATTATTGTTATCATTACGATGATGACAATTAGTATTTCATTGTATGTTAAAGTTAAATATTGTCTGCGAGGATCCATTTTGTTTTCGTCCGATGAGACGTCTGACATCTTGTCACATCTGAGGTTCAATCACACCTCAATGGGGTCATTTTTCTGAGGCTGTTGCAGGTCTGATCTGTAAATCGAGACGTCACTTGGTTTAGCGGATGGAAATTAGCCAGCCAGAGTGTGCGTGTGCTCCCCTTGAGTGTGTGTGTGTGTGTGTGTGTGTGTGTGTGTGTGTGTGTGTGTGTTTGAATGCCTTCTTTCACTATTCAGCCCATCGTCCCACTCAATGCAGCGCTGTTCTGTCTAGGGCTTTATCAAAGACGTACGAAAGAATACACAAAAGTCACACACGTATAACATCACTGTCTCAGGAGTGTCACCAAGTTGTTTCAACGTTGACACGGTGACGCTGTGTTACCGCAGCAACCGAGCGCATACGGACGACGGGGAAAAGAAGAGAGGAGCAAGTTACCTGCCTGACTCTCGGGCACTTAAACGCTTAGTCACACACAGAAAGTGACGCTCGCTCGCGCACGCTCAAACGGGGTGCAGGGATGCAGGCTGCACACCTGCTGGAGTGTGACGAGAAGAGGAGGGATTCTAGTAGTTCTTTCAAATCTTGTTTTTAGCCTCCAGTATTTCTCTCTCTTTTCTGTCTTTTTCACCCCTCTGTTTAACTCTCTCAGTGTCCTTTTCTCTCCCACCTACTCCCTCTCTGTCCCCCTCATCCATTTCTCTCCTGAAGAATTTCGCCTCGCTGGGACAGAATCATTATTTTTACTTGGAGGGGCGAGTGGGTAAAGATGTAGGCCGAGCTGCCTCTGTAATTCATGCTCATCTGTATCAATTTGTTGTGACTACACTGCACGCACACCCGCGAACAAACACATACACACACAAAGCATGGCCCACGGGAGAGACATTTGCTTTTGTGATAGTGGCTTTTAATTAGCAGGAGTGACAGGGTAAAACAGAGAGAGGGGGAGATAAAGGGATACGAACAAACGAGAAACAAGTGATGCAAAGCAAACTATGGGTGAAGCACAATTTTGAGGCCAGTTTCAGCGCCATGTTTTCACTGCACCACCATCTTTGTCACATCTTTAATGGACGTGACATCGCTTTCTACTGTCCACTCCGACTGGGCCCCGGTTGGAGGCTCGATGCAAATTAAGGATGCTTGGCTTTTGACACACATCCGCAGTAGAATACATTTCGCCTTGGATGACGAGTCTTAATGCATGACCACTCGTTCATGAGAAGGGAAGGATTGACGGGTGGCGTTGGTCCAAAGAGCACGGACACACACATCTGAGCAATTTTCATTTGATGTGCTATAGATAGACAGATAGATGGATAGATATAACCCTCATCTGGTTAATTGGATGACCTTTTCAAAGGCTTGTGAAGTGTTTACCAATCGAGCTCATCTCAAATTGCTACATTATCCAGGACATTTTCTCTGATTACCTGGTGGGTCAAGCGCTATTTCTTTATCAGAAATAAGCCCTGTTATCTTTTCAGCCTCATGCTGGATCCACGCTGGACTTGTGTAATACTGCATTGGAAGTGTTGAAGTGGAGTGGTGCTGTTTGTGGTACAGAAGATTATCCAAATCTGTCCCTCCCAATGTCCTTTGAAAGTAAGCCAGTACTGTGTGTGTGTGTGTGTGTTTGTGTGTTTCATCCGGCAAATTCCTGTTGCACCTGTACCGAACTAAACTTTGTTCAAAGAGGAGGACAAAATACACCTGCTTGCAGACACGCAGCTTTCTGCAGGCATTGTGTCCAGCTGGAGCTAGTTCAAGGTCGCCTCAGCCATAGAAATCTTCCGGTTCTTAGATGACGCTGGTAGCCGAGCTGGTAGCCGAGCTGGCATCCACACGACAAACGTCAACTCCTAAAACAAACCGCTAGGACATCAGCGGCCCGTGTAGATGGTACTAGTTGGTACTGTGTTGTGTGATCAATGCTATAAACTGTTGCAGAGCAGAGGACAGAAAGATGGTGGGGAATGATTAGACTAAAAATTGCGAGTTGTCCTTCAGGGGAGGAACCTTGAGGTTGACTCGGGAATCAACGTGAGCCTTCTCCGAATAACTTCCAATTACATTAAAATGGCTATTGATTACACGGTAGAATTTGCCAGATGCTTTGGGTGGTTTGCCAACAAGCTTTCATTCCAGTTTCTATTTAACTCTGAGTCTCATGTATCACTAAGGGATCAGGCTCCGCTCCAAGCCTAATGCTTCACATACATTCAGACACACACACACACACACACACACTTTGTCACACTGCTGTGGCTTCATGCCAACACCCACGACCAGAGGGGCAGAAAGTTCCTCCAGCTACTAACCGCCCGGTGATGACTTTGGGTTGGTACCTTCTCACAGCTGATGCATCCGACCAATCTAACAGTGTATCTCCACTCTGACTCGCTCACAAGCGTGACGCTATATCACCTCAGTCACTGCAGGGCAATGAGTACGAGAGGTAGCAATGCTAAGTATCATGGCTCTATTGCGCTTCAAGGGTTTTGGTCTCAGTCAGTGCGTTAGGGTCTGCAGTGATAGACAAAGCCTCCCTCCTCTCTGTCACCCTGTTGAGTATGCGGTGAGTTAATCTGGCGGGTCCATCAAGGTGCATAAACACCTACGCAGGCACAGTGCGACCAGACGTGCCACAGAGTGTGTTTATGTGTGAATAGGAAAAAAAAATAACATGTAGATGGTATTAACCACCAACTAATATAAAAATCACTTCACTAGTAATAATGTATTTCAAACAATACATTATGTTCTTTTGAGTTTGTATCCTAACGGTTGAAATGCACTTATTGTAAGTCGCTTTGGATAAAAGCGTCAGCTAAATGACATGTAATGTAATAATTATGCAACAACCTTTGATGGAAATACATTCACAGTATTTATCATTTGGAACTTTCTTTCTTTTTACTCTGAGGCACATTGGGTTTGAACACTCTAATATATTCACAAAGCAACCTCCACAACCTTTCAGAAAGGCATTATCACCTCTGTCTTGTGTAGGTCACAGCGTTTTATCTTAGTTTTACAACCATTAGTTGAAAATATGACCCACGCAGCTTAAACAGAAAAAATCCGAGAACTGATGATGAAAGGATACCTTTGATTTTTTCTTTTCAACACTGAATGGAAAGCACCTTTTGTGTTCCCTGTGCCTGTCAAATTCTAAATGAACGTCATCCTCATAAGAGGAAAATGCATCCTTGATGATTGGAACTCATTCTCTGCACTGTATTAATCTGACATATTCGTTGGTTTTGATTTGATGGGATGCCTTCTGCGCTCCACTCCGAAGCATCTTGCAGTGATTCATGCGTTTCTGTGCGAGTGTGTGTATTAGTGAGGACTTTGAGGAATAATAACAGAGATCAGAGAGCTAGGAGTAGTGAGACAAATAGAGGGACAGTACAAAGCAAAGGACAGAGTACGAGAAAACCTTTGTGGCGACAAAATTCTGCAGTATTGATTATGCACATTTTGTGTCAAAAAAGAATATTGAATTCCACTAAGTGCAAGAGACAGTTTTGGCAATATAGCCTAACATTCATGCCAAGAACGTAATTGCATGGAAGAGATGGAACATTTTGAATGACTGGAAGAGAAAAGGATTCAGCAATACTCTTAATACAAGAATTATGTGAACAAAACGTAATGAAATTAACGGAGAGATGGAAACTGAGTGAGGTAATGCAGTCTCACTGATGCACGAAAGGTTGAGGACAAGTTAAGAGAGAAAGGAAGCGAGCTGAGTTGGTGCGATAGAGATGGAGAGAGAACCAAGAGAACCAGAGGGCGGTGTGTCCATCGGCGTATACGTAGGTGCGAGTGTGGAGGGTCTGACAGCCCTTTTTAGTGTCTCCAGTGTGACGCGGTGGGTTGCGACGGCGCGTTGGCCCGTTGACACCTCTGGAGCAACAATGCCTCCCCAACATGAAGACAAAGATCCCTGTTTTTGGGGTCTATGTTTTCTTTTCTTTTCCTGCAGAGAGCATTTGTTCATGTATGCACGCTTGTGTCATATTAGATGTACAAAGAATGCAGAAAGGAGCATTCGTGTTTGCGTATTAACTGAGGAAGTGTGGAATCTCACAGAGAGCCGGATCCATTCACTCCATTGTCTAATCCACACCACACACACACACACACACACACACACACACATGCACTCAGCTGTCGTATCTGTTGCTATGCCACCCGACTTCCGACAGATTTTTGTACCGAGCGTATCCGGGGTATAGGAAAGGAAGAGACAGAAATAGTGGGGGGAATAGAGGAAAGGCGGAAAGAAAAAGCGAGGTGAGAATTGTGAGAAAAAGATGAGGGTCAAGAAGAGATAAACGTAGGAGGGCAAATAGTGTAAAATGGTTAGGAAAACAAGAAAAGGGCTGTTAAATAACCTGCACGCCTCTCGCCCATCATCCTCTCCCTGCGCCGCTTGGATTCCACAGACTGCCGTGATAATACACACAGTGATGTGGCATTTCACCGGAGGACTTGGCACGTGGCCTTAAGTGTGCTCAATGCCCTCGCCCTTTGCGCCTGCCCGCCCGGGGCATGCTAACATTAGCTGCTGTCACAACAGACAGTTGCCCCCCTCCCCCCTCCTCCCCCCTTTCATGTGCCGTTAAGACTACAAAAGATGGGAATCAATCAGAGGAGAGTGGAGTAACACCGTCGCTGCTCTTTACTGGCCTTCTCATCCCTCTCATCTTTTCGATCCGCTTATGTGGACTTACCAGGTCTGGCCAGGTGGTGGGTGGCAGAGCTGGGGAGGGGCAGGCCGATGCCCACAGGGGGGTGGGTGTGGGGGAGCATGACACAGAGCTCGGCAGCCTTCCGGGCTATGGGGGACGGGCGGCGGTCGGGGGGAGGAGGGGGGTTGGGGGGTCAAGCCGCCATGCCTTTCGGCCCCCACTGGGGCGCCGACCGCGAAAGGCTACAGCGAAGCACCTGTGGGTAGAGGGAAGGAAATGAGTGAGAATAGACTGTTACATTTAAGGAGTAAAGCAATTTTGTCCTACTTATAAATCCTTCTTCTTTGACAAAATCCAATCAAACTGTCTTTGCATGGGGCTACACAAACTAACATGAACACTCACGCGCACACTTGTGTACACACACATGCACGCCAGCAGCCATGAAGGCTAAAGCAGCAGGATGCCGTGTGCGCACGCACACTCATGTTTGCCAATGGCTTCCTTGCATTTATTAAAAGTGTTTTTCAGTGCGTGTGCGCGGGTGTGCACTTTTACTCCCTGGTGGGACAGTGTACGTGCACGTTGTGCGTGCGCTCCACCAGCACTCCCGTTTTTTTATGGGCGTAAACACTACATATGTATTTTTTTTTTTGCAGTTTGCACAATCAGTTTGCCTTTCCTTCAGACAGACCCCTTGCTGCTACCGTCTGGCACAGAGACACACAAAGAGGGACAAAGGGAGTGAGAGGGGAGGAGGAGGAGGGAGAGGAAATGTACGTAGGGAGAGAAGAAAGAACGATAAAGTGACTCACATGGAAACACAGGGACGGAACAAAACCGACGCAAAGCGCCATTTCATCTGTTTGTGTGTACGATTCTGCAAAGAAAAATATTTGCCTGTCAAGGAAAGTTGTGGTGAAAAAAACAAGTTGTGTGTGTGTACAACTTGTACCATGGCTAGCTGTGTGGTTGATATATTGTTGGCGGTTGTCATTTTGTTTCCTGTGCTAACATGCTGCCTGATTGCTTTAGATTTTTCTGTGTTAGTTCGACAGATGGACGATTCTTTCGATGACAAAGAAAGTTAGGAGTGACGAGTGGGAAATTGCCGTTGGGAGATGACTTGTTAGAACCTCAGTGCCGCATGACGGATGCTGGCTGTTGACTCGCGCCCCCTCTGGGCCAATCAGTGTGATTTTGGAGTTGCCGGAGCGCTGCTGTGAAATGCGTCTTTTTCCTAAAGTGTCATCAAAACCCAATCAGCAGAGGGTGAAATATGGCACTAATCTGATTAGGTTGTTGTTCAGCAGTTAGGTGTTTTCGGGTGAAAACTCATAAACACAAGCAGGCTTTTTTTTCCCTCCGCGCCTCATTTTGCAATGCAGTCGGGGCGCGGTTGCATTTGTGCCTCGTGTTAGCGCTCACTTGTTGATGGCGTGTGCAGTGATTATGCAAATTAGCCCTATAACGCCTTTGCTAGCTATGTTAAGAAAAGATGATCTAGAGTTGTGAGGGGGGGGGGATAAAGCGTCTGAGGGAAATAAAGGAACACATGATGATGATAGACAGTCAGGTAGATTACACCTTCTATGCAAACAGACAGTGACTGCAGTCACTTCCAAAAGCAACACCCATCAATCTGCTCGGAGTGTCGGCGAGTTATTTACCGACGGTTATATATGAGAGGGAGGAGACGACTGAGGTGGCCGAGGTGAAATATGACAGATGGTCACAAAGAGGAGAGAAGGTAGATAAGAGACAGATGAAAGGATAAAAAAAGACAATATAGGCGAGGCAGGAAATGCCTCCAGGAGGTAGAAATACGGGCCTTAAAGTACATTCAAAAACGGGCCAGGAAGTACATTCAAATTCTCTGTTTTGTGTGGTGACGTTTGTTTTATCATAATGGGTATTACCTCTGAGACGCCTGTCTATTCTCCCGGCCCTCTCCCCTCCGTCTTTATACTCCCTCCACATGTAGCGCCACCTCTCCTCCTCTCCGTCATCTCTTCCTCCGCCTTTCAATCTTCTCCCTCTCTTTATGACCTTCATCTTCCAATATCCACCATCCCCTTCCCTCCTTCCCCTCTCTCCCCATTCCACCTCCTCCTCCCCTCTTCTCCTCATCCTCGTTCCTCTCCTCGACAAGAGAATTTGGAAGAATTCTGAAGCGCAGATGAGAGAATTTGGGAAGGTTCCTCTCTCTGCTTCGACTAAAATAGTAGCGCTGAGGAGCTGTCGCCTTGTTTGAAACATGTAGTCCGTTTATGCAATATTAAAAGAAAGTTGCAGCGTATTTCATTTCGCTCACACTGTAGGAAAGCAAACAAAGCATTGTGATGGATGCTATTTTTTCCTTTGTCGTCGTTGTTCATTGAATAAAACATCCCGCCTGCAATTTGAAGCTGTCTGGAATCAATCTTTAATTCCTGCTCCCGGACTGTAAGTGTTTGCCACGTTTTGCATGTCGGCCATTTTTCAAATGAGTCATGCCATTGTGTTTGCTTATTTTTCGTTCATTTTGGGGAGGAAAACAATTTGGCCGGGAGGCCATGTGGATACAAGACGGCGATCCGAGCTCATTTCTGGTTTATATCTCATTCACATCGCATTGTTTATCGCTTCTTTTTTGCTGCACCATTTTAGTACCCCTACTGTGCGCAATCACGCTGCAGCTGTCCTATAAATGATGCATCGGAGGTGTTTTGGAGGGTTCACCTCTGCAGCCTCGTGTTACCACATCAAGTCTGTCGGGCTGTTTTTTTTTACCAATTTGTCCTGGAAACCAGGGCAGCCAAAATCCACTCACGCAAGCGATCTCACACACACACACACACACACACACACACACACACACACGTAAGTACCTGGTTGCCAAACCCCAGGTCGCTCCTCCCCTCTTCTCTCTCCCCTCTTTCCATCCTATATTTTCCCCGTTCATTTGACTAACAGCTTCTCGTCTGCACGTGTGCCGGATTTGAACCCCACGAGGGTGATGCGGATGCTTCTTAGATATTCTCAGCCTCCGGCGCGCATTTCCTTAAAACATTTGACCGCACACCTCGAGGCTGAGATAACAGAGGTGTCCGACTTGGATCGGCCCAGTTGGGCAGCTCGTGTGTGGTCCTCCATGTTTAGGATGCAGGACGAAACCGTCTATAGCAAGTGGGGGAGATGGAGAACGGCTCAGCGATGTTCTTGTATTTATTAACGCCAGTCAAGTACTGTATATTTTCTTGTGATCTAGCAAATCCATTTCCAGTGAGCATCCTCACTGTGCTCATCTATTCACAATGCGCCCACTTCAGCCCGTATATTTCTCTTGCGACATGCACGACTAGACTCGAGTAATAGCTTTTAACCAATATGGCCGGAACTCCTTCCAATTTTCTACCGTTTTCCATCTGCACTCAAGAAGACGTCTATCCTTGTGTGAAGGCGTGCGTGCGTGTGTGTGTGCGTACGCGCGTGTGTGTGTGTGTGGGCGGGTCGTTCGCCCCCCAATGAGTGACATCAAAGCTGTAAACATACAGCAGGACCATCCAACTTCAGCTCTGCCCTTTCCTCCCTCTTTACACACACACACACACACACACACACACACACACCCTCACGCACATGAAGACACAACATTCAGCAGTTGGCTGGTGTTTTGCCTGGTTTAAACGGATGTATCAATGGCAGATCATTTAACAACTCAAACCGATAGCTACTGCGTCTCTTAAAAAGGACGTTCCCGTTCAACGGAACTGCATTCCCATTTCTCCCCCGGATTGTCACAGTTTGAAAAACAAACGGAACAAAACTAAATGGTTAATGTAGATTTGAAGCTGAAGATCATGGTTTGCTTAGAAGAAGTAGGTTGGTTTTGTAACTTGACTTGCAAATGAAATGTGAAATGATAACATGTGGCAATACAGACTTTTCGCTTCATGCAGGACAACAGCAGTATCTTGCATGTTAGTTTGTGATGTTTACGCCCCCATCCACCCCAACCTCACCCTAAATCCTCCTCTGCCAAACTTTCAAGAGAGAATTACTTATGACAGCAGTTTTATTTTTTAGAAATTGCGGACGACAACAGAGAGGAAAAAGAAGTTAAAAGCCAAATGTCCTGAAAGGGTCATCTGCATTCACCTGATGTTGTGTGTCTGTGTGTGTGTGTGTGTGTTTGTACGTGTGTGTTTGTCATTGGAACAGCGCTGCGTGCTAACGGGCAGCCCAGCTCGTCTCAATACATTTTTAATGCCTTTCTTACACAGGAGAGCAGAGGGATTGGGGCAACGCAACACCCATTCACTGGACACACAACATAACACCGACGCACACCGACGCACACCTACGCACGTGCCAACAGCTTGACAAAAAGTCACATGAGTGTTGAAAGGCATGTATAATTACACACGCGTGTGGGTATGCAGACGCATACTGTACATACAAGCACCAATGCACGTGTCCACAAACACACATTTTGTACGAGCAAACACAAACATGCATAGCAACTAGTAACTGTAAACCATCTTATTGTGCATATTTGAAATACATTTGACTAAAATTGACCTAAATCTATATATTTCATATTTTTCTACTGCACACTCTCAATCTCCAGTGGGTGCTACGGTGAAGTACACTTTCTTTAACAAAAATTCACTACTTAGGGGTTTGTGGGTGATTTTTTTCTGTATTCAAACAGTGATGTTACACAGAGATGCTGCAACACGTCTCTAGGGAATGAATGGATGGGCAGCAGTATTGAAGGAAGCCGTGTATTAAGTCGGCGATCGTTGTTTTCTCTCCGTGTTTGTGTCTCGAGGACATTCAGACAATTCCCATTAATTGGTTGCTGATGTAGAGGCGCAGGAGAGGAGATAGCCGGGTGGAGGGGCCTCACACCCACTGCATTATCACATTATCACACTGAACGTTAATCGCTCTTATGTCACGCCGGTTTCACAAGGTTAGAGCCCACAAAGTGTCTTACAGCAGGTGCAATAAAAAACAGTGGCACGCTCCACAGGATCAACATGGCAACATCTGATGGATCAGAGAGTATTCACTGCGAAGGTCAGAAAAACGAGAGACTTAAGGCAGCCAAACATTACAGCCGTGAATATTCAGTTTAATTAGAACTAATGGTAGCTTTAGCTTGTCTGCAGAGTTGTGTATGTCGGGCCCGTTTAGATAAAAAGGGGCAAATGAAATGTATATTGTGACGAGGAAAATGTAACAGAAGACATCTAGTGCATTAACACAGAGTCGCACTGACGTGAACCCCCAAGAGACACAGCAGCACACTGATGTGCAGCAATTTCGGTACGGTGGCCAAATTCCAACCTGCTGGTCACATGCCGCCTCGGACTTAAGAGACACTTTCACAAAGTAAACGGCTGTAAATATTTCTTGAGGACTTTTTGAGATGTATAAACGTTTACGAATATGCCTCAGTAAATGTATATTTTTCCATTTTAAGTCAGCTAAACAGAGCTGGACATGACAAGACTTGAATGCACATTGCCTCCACTTTATCACGGAGGCAGGAAGCGACCTGGATTTGGTTCTGGCATTTTGTTGTGAGTCACATGGGCTTTCATGGGATTTTACTGGACTACACGGGCTGCTGTGTTTGAGTACCTCATGCAATTTTAAAACATCCAAGGTGTGTACATCTGCAATATTGTATTTATGAGAAGAAAACTAAAATATACAGTGTATTTTCAGTATTGTAGCCTCGGCTGCGCTACAAATCAACAGATTATATATCATGTGGTTTGTTACAAGCAGACGTAGACCTCAATACTTAAGTGGATTGTGGAAATTAGTTTTTATCTGCTGAATAATGTGCTGACTCTTTCCCTGTTTATGACCTGCAGGGTATGTTGTTAATCTAAAATATTAGAGTTATAAGTATCTTTACAGCGTGTCATTTAGTTTATTTTAGTCGTCTGTGTGTGTGCCGCTGCTGCTCCTCTTTCTATGTACTTCTTTCTTGTTTAGCTCTAAATTATGAATAACTTGAAAAGAAAACACTCCCACACTCTCACCAGCTTTTCCCTAAAACCACAGCCCAAACATTCCAGTACATGTGCACGTTGTGTGTACCCAGGAAACAGGGTAAGGGCTGACATTTTCAGCATCCACCACCCCTCACAGCAGGCACCTTTGGCCGCCTTAAAATTGCCCAAATCTTTCCTCGTCCTCAATACTTTGTATTGACACAGAACCGTCGTTCGTTCCACTCGCAGGAGATACGGGGAGCGGTTTGAAATGAAGTCCGCGCGCGTGCATGAGTTAGGAGAAGAAAGCAAACACCAGTAAGAGCAGACTTACCTTTTGACCAAATCTCTCAGACAGCACCAGCCTTATGGCTTCCTGCCGTCCGGCATCCTCGCCAAAAATACCCCAAAAAAAACAAAATATCAAAAAGAAAAAAGCTGTTGCCCCTTATATCAAATAAATCCACGCATTAAAGATCCCGGTCAAGAGAATAATGCAAGAATAATCCTCCAACAACCCCCCCCCCCGCCCCCCCTCCTCCAGCTTCCATTCAACCCCAGCAATAAATTGTGAAAAGGGAGGGATAGTGTGGGGAAGAAATGAGGTGAAGAGAGGCTTAGAGACACGAGAGGAGAGAAGAGGGGATGGGGTCTGTAGCGGGAGAGGGATGGAGATAGTTAATCCTTTTTCTTCGGATCCATTCCCTTCATGAATGATGTGTCCAGCGCCGCGCTGCTCGCTCTAGCACTGCCGTGTGCGTCTGAGAGGTGTGAGTGTGTGTGAAAGAGAGACACGAGTGTGTGTGAGAGAGCGGGAGAGAGAGAGAGAGAGAAAGCGGCGTTTGGTTGCTGGCGTCATGCGCTTACCCCTCTGTGTGCCGCTATGTTTGTGATTCCTGCACTCAGCACGCGTCAGAGTGTGTGTGCGCGTGCGTGCATGCGTGTGTGTGTGTGTGTGTGTTTTTCCTTTCAACCGCGCATTTACACGTGAGGGCTGTCTTTCCGTGTGGGTGTGTGTGTCTTTGTGCCCCCAACCCCTCCTCTTCTTTTCCCTGTGTGTGTGCAGCCGTGCATGTGGCAGGAGAATATGTGTGTGTGTGTGTTGTCAAATATAGTAACGTTAGTGTAATGCTGCGTCTGTCTGCCTGCAGCCCTCCCACTGTGACAGGAAGAGGATGAGGGAGGTGGAATACAGAGGGATGATACAAAAGAGTGGAAGCCAGGGATGGAGAGAGAAAAAAACGGGAGTAGGAGTTTGAGGGAAGGGAGGGAAAGGAGATAGTAAAGAGGGAGGGAGGCTGCGAGAGCAATAGAGAAAAGGGACAAAGGTAGGAGGGCGTAAGCGCATGTAGGGAAGGATGGAGGCGATGGAAAGGGGACAGAAAAAAGAAATGCAAGAGAGAAAGCTGTAGCAGTTGAGGGAGGGAGGGAGAGACAGGGGAGGGGGGTGGGATGATCAGCTGATTTCAGTGTAGATGAGAATATCCCTCTGCCACATGGGATGTTCTCCTCCCTCAATTCTTTCTTGTCTTCCTCTCTCTGCTTTAATTTTCATTCTATTCCCCGTGGCAGCGCTCGTTACGGCTTTGTGTGTGTTTGTGCATATGGCTGCACACATGTTCGATGCTACAGAGTGTCTAGGGATAAAAAGCTGGTCCTCACCGGGTAGAACAGTAGCTTTTATGGGTTTATGTTATAAAATAAGTCAGTGGAAGATCCCCAGAGTTTGTGTTCATTGGGAGGAAGCACAAATCTCGTCTTTGGGAGACACCATTGATCATTTTGGAGACAGTAAGAGGGAGGTGGGGGGGCTGTGTTTGTTTGCACACAGCATATAATTACTTGGCTGCTTCTTTTGCATGTACTGAGTCGACACACACCAACACATGCGCGCATTGTGCGTTTAATGAGCATGTGAATCATTTGGCCCGACGATGCAGCACTTCGCTGCTTAAGACGGTGTGTGAAAAATATGTCCCGATAACGATTTCAACCTTTCAATTCACGAGGCAGCGGCCCCAACACACCGTACCGCACAACGTACCCTGAGTTCTGTCACCAGCTCCGTAGCTTTTGCACGGGCCAATTAAAACACCAGACTCACATGCGTGCAGCCTGCAGACGAGTCCTCTGGTTTCCTGTCCAACCGTGGGCGCCTGAGCTGGCTTCATTTGTCTGGAAATCTACTTCCTGGCAAACCAAAGATGCGTTTTAGCTGCCAGCAGCTGCCGTCGGTGCAACTGGTCTTATTGGAAACACTCGTCGGTATTTTATGGAAGGTGATTGGCTGCAAGGACTGAGATAGCAGTGAATGTGCACAATGGTGTTCCACATAAAAGTTAGATTTATTTTGTATGATAAAGAACGTCTGCCCTTCATAAACACAAAGTTTAGCTGTGTGTGTGTGTGTGTGTTTTATCCCAAAGGGGTAATTAGTCCTCTAATTGGTCCTGCCCCCTTCGTTCCAGAGTGCAGGGCTCAGTGACACAACCTTTCAGCTGCTCCGGATTTAGTGCCAGGCTCAAATTCACTCTTTAAAAAAATTCTAAAAGCGGTGTTCCTCATATTTGAAGATGATATTTCTCAGGAAAACGCGATGTGTCATAAACGTTTCTTCGCCACAGGGCGTATACGTTCTGCAATGATCTAAAATGCCATCGGCTTTTTGTCCAGGGAACCGGCGCAAAATACGTTCTCTGCATCAAAGTAAAGTGCAGCCAACGTCTCATTCATGGGAGAACATGGCGCGTAGTTATTTTGGGCTTGTTAATATAAGTAATATATACTTAAATATTATAGTAGCTACAATCAAAATCACAATGTTTTGATCTTGCGCTGTCGGTTAGGCCAGTTCTCTCTTTCAAGAGGGTCAATACATCTTTGAGGACATATTTCAGCATCTTGTAAAGCAAATTTGATAATGTTGCTCATCAAATCCCCGGCCTGCTTGTTTATCCCAGAACAAACCTTCTGACTTATTCTTAGAATTTGTTTGCATCCGATTGAGCCTTTGCTCGAAGATTGCATTTGTGTACCTTGGATTTTCGACGACCTTTCAGTTTGCAACAGCTGACATGACTGCTGTCTACCATATAGCCTTTAAGCAATCTGTCAAAAGGAAATTTTCCCCCCAAAAAGCTTTCTCAAGCCCGCCTTGATCACCAGGTTCTTACTGTAATGCCTGCGCCTTTAGTTTTGAATAGAAAAATGTAAATCGCTCACAGTTCACCTCCTCACTCTGCCGGCGCAGCACGTTTCATACCTCTGATCAAGCTGGGATTACAGTGCTTTTCACCACTAGTTTTATCGGCTTAAAGGACAATGTAAACAAAGGCAGAGACAGGCGCGGGCTCCCCAGGCAGCTCCTATGAGACGGTGTTCACTGATTGAGAGGGAGGAGGGTTTTTTTAACGCAAGATGAGAACGTGAGGCGAGCTTGATTTATTCGGCCATCCGAGGGATGTGTCCACTTTGTTGGGCTGTTTACTGTCTGGAAAAGGCCCTCTGGCGGGATTGAGGATCCATTGTTAATGCCAGCACCTCCCGCCGAGGCGACTTTTACGGCCGGTTGTGTTCCATCAATGACGCAGGAAATGCGTGTTATGAAAAATCATTACTGGCAGTGGTTAGGAGCATGAAAGTGTATTTTCTAACCTTTCCGCCGGGCTATTGTCGTCTCGGCCCACAGCGTTTCTCTCTCGGATATATATTCGTTCTCCATGCAGCTCTGAGAATGTTGGTCAATTTATTATCCAGGAGGCGTGATTAAATCTCTGCGCTGCTTCTTAGTTGCCTCTAATATTGATGATATATGAATTTAAACTGCGTTGCGCTCATTATAAGTTGCTGTGTGAACTATATAGATGCACGCCGTCTTTTGCCCTTTTGCAGCAGTCCTCGTCTCCCTCTTTCTCTCCCTATCTTTTAACTGCCCCCACCCCACCCACCTCTCCCCATCTCCACCCTCACTCCGTAATTTACTGTGCTGTTGGGTGAATGTCAGTGAAGATGAATTGTCTCTAGTCTTCGCATTAGCACCGGGTCTGGCAAAGGCACGTTTAGTGCTACAACCACTCTGGTGTAGCTGCGTGAGCGAGTGACTTCAAAGCACCATCCTTCTTAACTCTCACACACACACACACACACACACACACACACACACACACACACACACACACACACACACACACAGGTGGTGTACGTCCATGGTGCCATCACTGGAATCGTCTGTGTCTTTCTTCCTATAAATCTGTGTTTTCTATCATCTACATCAATTATATTTTATTCATGTTTGAAAGAGGTTGTTTTTTTTAGCAATTACAGAGATAATTGTATCAAATCTTCCAATTACTTTTGTGTTTTTTCATTTCTGGTATTCGGGTTTACGTCCTTAGATCCAAAGTGCTTTTAAAAGGTTTTGAGGAACACCGTATTGCATTAAGTGTATTTCATTGTCACTAACACGTTGGCTGGATTGAAAATGTTCTAGAATATTAAACTGGAGGAGGTAGCATGCAAAGTGCTTTACAAGTGAATTCAATTGTTTGATTTAAACGTCCAATGAAAGACTCCTGGAAGCGTTCCTGGAGCTTCCTGGAAAGGTGATGCTTTCTGGGAAAATGTCCATCATCAGTATTGACCTCATATCGCGTTAGTCATGTATCACTTTATTTCTAGCCATCTATTTTCTTCTGCTATTTCTATGTGATCAAAATGCCTTTCGTGCCAAAAAACACAACGAGTACTACAACTACATCATGTATTGAACATGCGGTGGAGTAGATTTATTTTAGTTACACCTTATTTACAGGCTTACCTTTAATCTGTATGTCTTATTTATTGCATTGATGTCATCACAAACTGACATATTGTACTATAATGATTATAGATTCATACTTACTGTTGAATTATTTCATCAAAGCATTGGACAAATTCAGAATGACTGATTAAGAAGCTTTTATGAATGAAGTTAATATGTTTTTGTTTAAAACGATTATTAACAATTAATTATTAATTGATAACCAAAATGTTATTTTTTTGAAAAACGGGACTGAAAGTGAACATATGTCAAAAAATAATGAACAATCAAAGACGTGCCCACCCGGGGTCTGTGGCAGGTTAAGCAAACGACACGTGTGCAGCTGTGCCTGTTGTGTATCCCTGTGACACGCTATCTGTCACTGCAGGCTAAATGAAGTGGTACAGCCAACGGATTATCAAGTATTTTAGGCACACACACACACTCACACACTCACGCGCACAGACACTCACACAAAGTTTATCCCCTCCGAGAGTCTCATTAATTTGGCCAAGTTGATTTGTTCTGAAAGGCTCTGGATTCATCACAGCTAGACAGATGGTAGAGAGGGATTTCCTCGAGGAGAGGAAGAGGAAGAGGCAGAGACAGAGTGGCGTGGGGCAGTCAGGGGACGGCACTGGGGGAGGGAAAGCGAGGGGGAAGAGGGCAGGGAGGCACACTAAGTCGAATGTAAATGCGAGGGAGAGAGACAAACAACAAGAGGAATCAACAAACCAGTAAAAATGGAGAGAAAGGTGGATAGTTGAGGGGCGAGTAAGGGAGAGTGGAGCGAGCGCCATCTGTCTTATTAGAAAGACAAAAAAAAGAAGACTAGAGAGATGGAAGTCATGGAATGGGTGAGGCAAATACATAAATCTATTTTTTCAAATATGTCCCGTGTGCATTAATAATATCAGTGTTTTGTTTTTTTGCAGCCCTCAAATGAATGCAACCTTTTGCATATTGAAGCTGGAGACGCACTAGAGAGACAAACTCTCAAAATGATGAACTATCCCTTTAAAATTCAGGCACTTAACTTTCGCAATTATGAAAGTGGGTAACCAGGGTTAAGGAAAGAGCACACAAACACACCCAGACAGCACCATGTTGATCCCC